CCGCAAGGCGGTGAGTGACGGTATTTTACTGTATTTCTGGCTTAGTATATAATTACATACAATGAACCCTGGGCCGTCTTGTCAAATTCCATCTGATTTGCTTACTAGTAATTTTATCACCTTGCCTAATGAGTGGTGGAAATCAAACATGAATGATAAGCTCGAGGGTTAATACTGATATTAAAGCTGATATTTTGAGCAGGGACACGTGGGATGGGGGTAAGTGGGCACCAGAGAACAAAGGGCAAGGGTTAGCAAGGTCCTCTCCACCCGGTATTGCATCTCCTCCCCCGCTGCTCAGGGGCTGCTGTCCCTTGCTTTGCTGATTCCCTTGGAGTGTGTTGGCCTTCCTGACATGCAACAGCTCCCTTGCCCCTTCTGGAGGCATCTCTGGTGTAAAAGCAAACACTTCCAACCCCACATTCGAAAGTTGGGGCCCATGCCACCAAACCTGAAAGCCATCTAAGTAAGCTCCTTGGCAGCCGGCGTAATAACTCCGAGTTCACTTGGGATCTTAGCTGTGAATCTGAGTCTTCCGGCTCCTTCCTATGCGCTTTCTTATTTGCATATTTATGCAGCTAAACATCCCAAATCACTTCTTTCCTTCCTGCAACTGCTTGGGCACTGTCGTTGCTGAGCTCACTCATTTATCTTGTCATTTTTCTCCTTCTTTTTCTATATTCAGGTAAACTCTGGACCAACCCACTGACCCTCCCCTCTCTGTGGTTCCCTTCCAATCCCAATAGTGACAGTGAAGCAAAGGGAACCCACAACATTATTGATCGTTTACCTTGACCAGGACCTGAGTTAGGAGATAATTCAAGAGGTTTGCATGTCGTCCAGAAGCTTGTAGGTTGAAATTAGAATATAACCACTTTCCATAAGATGCAAAGTCTTCCCTTCAAGTTCAAATCCTTCCAAACACCACCTCGGACCTTTCCTCTGAGACAGAGTGGGTCAACCCCTTCCAGAATGTGCTGGGCTTCTATTGATTATTTACTTCCTTCATATGTCGCTTCTTTCTTATTAAAAGGTTTTGGTCATGACTGGGGTCCCATTGCTAGAACAACTGGGGCTGATGTATCAGCCCCTCAAACTTTCTCAAGAACTTAAGTGGTCTTGACCAAATATCAACTATGGGACTTCCCTGGCGGTCCAGTGGTTAGGACTACTTGCTCCCGATGCAAGGGGCACAGGTTCGATCCCTGGTCAGGGAACTAAGATCCTGCATGCCGCACGGCGTGGCAAAAAAAAAAAAAAAAAGATCCCAGCTATGATCTTGACTCACCTCATCTTTGGTGACCAAATTGTGCAATGTTCTACAGTTTTTCCCTAATTTTTTTCCTTTTAAATGAAATCTCATTTACCAAAACCCATTTTTATAATTTTTAAACTTCTTTTCTTGTCTAACACTTTCTTCTTCCAAAATGATACATTTCCCTTTGATCAAAATTGTCCTTTTACGTCCTCCCACCCCCACTTACATGCCTTTTAAAATTTTTAATTTCTTTATAAAATTGAGGCCACTAAACATTTTTCTATCTGTCCTTCTTGCTTTAACTCTGTTTCCCCTTAGTTTACTACTACATTGTGATACTAAAAATGATCGTGATATCCTGTTATGATAACCTGTCACAGACATTTGTGTTTGTCCTGAGAGATTTTATTTTCAAACACAAACACCTAGAGTTAAAAAAAAAAAGTATAACCATAGAAAGTTTAAGTGCAAACATACCCTTTTATATATGGGTTTAGATGTGCCGTGCCTACAGTTCCAGTTTTGCAGGGGTGAGTGTGTGGCCACCATAGAGACCGCCCACCTCCCCAGTTCGCCAATTCTTGGTCGTGACATTGTAGGGGGAAAGGTCTGTTTTTGAGGCCTCTGCCTGCACGCTACTCTCAAAGAAGTCTGGGTCTTCTCTGATGACAGGACAGGATTAAGTGTGGAAAGGTTTCAACTGTGATTAAAAAAATGGAGTGTCAACCAGGAAAGTCTGGGAGAGGTCATACAGCTCTGCAAGTGAAGGACAGACCGGGGAGGGGTGGTGGTGAACGCATCCTAGACAGACACAGGTGTGTCTAAGGAAATTTGGCAAGGCCCCCAGGGAGGAGTCCATCAGAAGAGTCCCGCGTCCCCCAGGAACCCAGCCCACCATGAATACCTGCTGAGCTGTTGGCTAGGAGCAGCCGTGAGGGATGCGGGTTGAGGCTTCTGTGCAAACACTGCCTTAGACTTCAGGGCGCAGCACTTGCTGGAGTTGGAGTTTCTTAAGGAGCCTCCATAGTGCCTGCACCAGTTCACATTCCCACCAGCAGTGCCAGAGGGTTCCCGTCTCTCCACACCCTCTCCAGCATTTGTTGCTCGTGGATTTTTTGGTGATGGAGGTGTACCTCATTGCAGTTGTGATTTGCATTTCTCTAATAATTAGCGGTGTTGGGCACCTTTTCATGTGCCTCTTGGCCGTGTGTATGTCTTCTTTGGAGAAATGTCTATTTAGGTCTAGAAAGTTTCTTTTCTAAGTGCCAAATCAATCTTCTTGCTATAGTTCACTTCTGGGCCAGTTTCCTATTAGCTCAGAGAAAACATCTCTCTCCGTTATGTTCACTGGTTATAACAATTCCCTGCTGAAAGTAGGGTTTTCTTAAAGATTTTTGGAATAAATATTGCAGCATGTAAAGAAAAAATAAAACTAAATACAATAAAATAAAATCCAGGGTGACTTTTATAGCTGCTCATGAAAATGCGTGGGCACCGATATCCCGAAAAGTAAGTGGGAGTGTAGGGGGGCAAACATACCTGATTAGCCCATGTCAGTAATAAGATCATTCCCCACCCTCCAGAGCAGAAATTTTATTATCAGTTGCACAAAGGAAATACCAGTGCAGTAATGAACAAGGAGCAGGCCATATATATATATGTATATATATATATATATATTTTTTTTTTTTTGCGATACGCGGGCCTCTCACTGTTGTGGCCTCTCCCGTTGTGGAGCACAGGCCCCGGACGCACAGGCTCAGCGGCCATGGCTCACGGGCCCAGCCGCTCCGCGGCATGTGGGATCTTCCCAGACCGGGGCACGAACCTGCGTCCCCTGCATCGGCAGGCGGACTCTCAACCACTGCGCCGCCGGGGAAGCCCAGCAGGCCATATTTTACAATCGCTGCTTAAGTGGGCAGTAGATATTCTTAGCTGTTGGCTGGTATGCTAATTAAACAGTTCCTGAGGCCGTTGTGCCCAGTGTAGAAAGTGCCAGAGCAGTTACACGGGCTCTGTGATAAGGGCTCGAACAGAACTGAAGTTGTGAGTCTCCCTCCTGGTCTGAAAGCCTGCACTGTGCAGAGCACTGTCGCCGTACAGCCCGTGGCGCTCAGTCAGGAGGGAACTCCTCTCCCTGGGAACCATTCCGAGAACCTGGCAGAGAGGAGCCGTGGTTGGAACCAAAAGCTGAGACGTGTACGTCAGCTCAAGCCCTGCCTGGCTGGCCTAGGTGGCGTACTGACCCCACCAAGCCCCTCTGCACACACCCAAAGTATCTTCCTTTCACCCTCAAACTAAAATCAGCCTGCAACCTGCTTTTGTTGCTGTTTTAATTTAAAATTTGAGCCAAGAGTTTAAAATGGGAAGATTTTCCAGACTTCCAACAAATTTTTTAAGATCTGGATTGTGGGATTCCTTCCCCAAGGCCTGGGGCTGAGTGACAGCTGTCCCTCCCACTGTGACCTGGGGCTCTCAAGTTCTCCACAGTCTCCACCAATCCTTATTGTCTCCCAGCACTGGACCACTTGTTTAAATCATCTGCCTGACTCCTGGAGAGATTTGGGTTTGCAGTCTTGAGAAAGACTCCTGTTTTCTCTGTCCTGGACAAGTACAGTCAGTCTAAACCTTACTGGGCTCTGGGCCTCCCATCTCAGCCCTTCCAAGTCATTCTTCATGGTTTCCTTTAATCCACTCAGCAAACAGTACGCCAAATGAGGTGCTAGGCTTTGGAACTATGATGAGGTTCCTGCCCTCAGGTGTTCAAAGTCTAATGCCAGAGACCCACAAGTAAGGAGACCCTGAGAATCAGCATGAATAGTACCATGGTAGAGGTCACCAGAAGGTGGGAGTGGGCATGAGAGCTCAGAGGGCAGGCAACTAGCCAGAGTCTTCCAACATGGAGGGAGGGAGAGAGGAAAGACTTCCACATGGTATTGTTAAAACTAAGCTTAAATGGTGAGTAGCTGAGCCAGGCTGAGTCATGGACAAAGCACTCCAGCAGAGGACATGGCCTGTGCAAAGGCCCAGGGGTCAGGGCACACTCATGGAACTGAGAGCAATTCAGGACGGTTGGAGTGTGGCATCCAGGAGGGATTGATCCCAGCTGGTCCAGCTCCCTGCAGTCCCCCAGATGTCCACCAGGGGGACAAAATGCACAGGACAGCCACAACAGAAAATTATCCAGCCCAGATATCAATAGTCTTAGGCCGTGAAACCTGCTCTAAGCCAAACAGGGCCAACTGGGGGCATCTTCCTGAATAAATTTAATCTAACCTGCTTCTTTGAAGGCCAACCCTTTGTGGCTTTCAGATTTGCAGGTTTCCAAACAATGTCAAACTTATGGGCCTGATTAAATTGACCACTTTGTGAAGAAAGACAAAAATCTTTCAACATTTCAGGCTACTCATATGCTGCATATAACCAGGGGGGAAAGCACTGTGAGCGTGGACAAGTCTGTAAGCCCTCTGAGCCTCTAGGGAGCTGGTCCCTGGTTGAACTAAGATTCCAATTCCCATCCATTTGTCCCCATTGCCCATCCTCCCACCTTGATGAAACACTAACTGAGGTTGGTGGTAATATTTGGGTACTGTAGAAATCATCATGTTTTCCCCAAGCAACATTTCTCAAAGTGCAGTTTCTAGGCCATCAACTTTAAAACCAGCTGGGGAGCTTGTTAAAAATATCTGTTTCTGAGCCTTACTCCAGACCTGCTGGATCAGACTTGAGTGAGGGCACAAGGATGGTACCTTTTACTGAGCCTGCATCCCAGGTGGGTTTGATGCTGATAGTCTGGGGGAAACCCCTGTCCTCAGTTATAAACTACTTGGAGTTTGGGGTCCTTTCCATGTCTGTTTTTATTTCCACCAATCCTTCATCTCAAGTAACTCCAAACAAACATGCAACATAAGTTAAAACTGTATGCTTCGTGTGTAACAACAGCCTCAAGGTAAGCCCCTAAACCTCCCCATCCTGAACCAGAAAGCCACTCCCTTAAGGCCAACTAATACAAAACACTGGGTTACCCAGCCACTCCTTCATTTTCTTCAAGAGGTGACCACAGAGATCTGGCACATAGCAGGTACTAGAAAAATATGTCGAGAGTTGAATTTATGCGCATCCTCATTGCTATCCCGGCCACCACTTCCCAGCTGTAGCCCAGCACTTGGGCAGCGGCAGTGTTGGTGCTAACCCTGCTCTCCTCCTCGACTATAGCGGCCCACCCTCTGGACACCCCACATCTTCCATGGGAGCTGCCTCCAGGACTCTCAGAAAATATCAGTAAGCATCCTTTGATCTTTTCTTAGGAGACCTAGCTGGGTAGAAAGCTGTCTAGGATATCGGCACAGAAATCGATCCCTTCTGAATAAACCCTAGAGCCATTTACTGCTGTGGCATTTGTAGGTAAAGTGATTTGAATAAGACTCAAAAGCCTCTCTCTCACAGTTTACTCTGGTGTCTGACCCACTGTTGGTCTCTCCTTTGAGATAAAGCACTAAAAACTCTCATCAAAGACACAGGTCAGCTGAAAGGGGAAACTAGAAGAGGGAAGTAAATGGGCTGATGAATGAGGGTTATGTAGTGACTGCATTAAAAGGCAGGACGAAAAGAAAAATATGATGTATTGCAGTCCTCTGGTTATTAGAAGGGAGGGACCTGTAATTGTTCCTTGGGGAACGGAAGGTTTTCCTGGTGATGGATTGTAAATATTTCTCAGGTGGGTTCTTATACAGGCATCGCTGAAGAATAGAATACATCGTGAACTAGCTGGTGAGGTTAACCCTGAGTTAAGCGTTCGTTTCTGACCTTGCAGAGAGGTGAGCTGAGTCAGCCGAACTATTTGTGCGGGAACCCACACAAGCTAAGTGATCAGTCCCATCCAGACACGAATGTTAGTGGCCTCTCTCCAAATGGCATCACCCCCATGGGAAGGGCAATGCCCACTAGGAGGTCTTCTTCAGGTAGATATTTAGACTCACAGGCCACACCTGGCTTTTAGAAGGCTCAGGGCCAGGAAGCACTGTGTGCCAGCAGGCCATGCCAGCCATTCTTCTTTATCAAGAGGAGCCCTGGCAGCAACCCACACAGTAGTCCAGGATCCCCTAGGTAACAACTCAGGTACAAGGGAACGGGGCTCACGTGCAGCAGCCCCAGGACCCGCCCTGGCCTAGAAGCTTCACTCTCCATAGGGGTCAGTACCCCTAGTAACCACCGCATAGGTATAATTTCTAGGATGCCAGGATGGGCGTGCCCAACTGAATGAGTCGTCACGCGGATGGAGACCCAAAATGACGGCTTCCCGCCAGGTGTTTGTAGCTCATCCGATGCACCTCGCCATCCACGGGCCTTTTTTTTTTTTTTTTTTACCACGGAGCATTATTGTCTAGCAACACAGTTCACGGTTTTTATCTTATCAGGTTTCCATGGTAACCTGTGTTGCTAGAAAGTTAGCCCAAGGTCAAATCTATCTTTACAGAAGGGGTTTTACTCACTCTTCCCACAGGGGATGGACAGGGAAGGGAAAGGGGTAGACCTCAAGCCTCTCTAATTTATTTTCTCTTCCTTCCACTTAGATATGACTTTCCTCAACGGGGTGTTTAAAAATGTGGGAGGAGTGGCCGAAATTTTTGGTAAGTTAAATCTGAACTTGCTTTTACTCCCCCAGGTGTCAGGGCGTGGGGTGTGTGTGGGAAATCTAAGGAAATTACCAGGGCCTTGGGCTCTGCCCTCTGAGCTCCCACAGCCTCGTCAGCAAGCTCCCAACAACGTGACCCTGGTCCTGATGAGAGTAGTGGTACCCTTTAGCGCACGGTGAGTCACTGAGTTGCCAGGTGGCTTCGTTGTCCTTCCTTCATTCATCCTGACCTCAACCTGGCCAGGAGGGGAATGGCATCCCTACTTTACAGGCAAGAAAACTGAGCCAAAGGAGTTAGGGACTTGCCCAAAGCCACACAGCCAGAAGGGACAAGGACTCCTCTGAGTCCAGAGCTTAGTCCCCTTCCACAAAAGTGGTTTTACTTTTCCTTCTCAACTACTGAATATACATAAAGTTTAAGAAGCATTCCACTGATCAGTTATATATCTATCATTTGACTGTTAATCGCACGGCATTACGATGATTCCCATCACTGATGACTAAAAGTACCCAAAATAAGATTATAGTAAGATGGACGTGAGCAAGGTGACTGCTATGGGATTAGACAATGCTGCGCGTAAAACTGCACTTAAAATGTATGTATGACTAAGTGCAGGTGCCCTGGAAGCTCTTGAATGAAAATGCATGTTTCTATAAACACATACACATACACCTTAGGGTGGCTTTTTCCATCAGCGTAGAACCATGTATTCATGTTTCTGATAAGGCTGTGTGGAGACAAAAGGCGGGAAGGGAAGTTTGAATGAGGTAGGAAGAAACTAGAAGAGCAGTGAACAGTTGAGGTGGACGTGGTCCTCACAAACAACTTTGGATCTCCCCAAGCTCCCCACGATGACCCTGTGTGTTTAAATCGGTGCTACGGGGTCACCTCATTAAGCACCTGACGATCATCCAATCAGAAAGGCAGAGAGCAGAGAGGGCGACCACGAGTTGTAGAGTCAAAAAGGTGGATACTGTTTTCTTGCCAGTTTTGTGTGCAAGAGCATTTTTGTTTAGGATAAGTCATTGTTGCTGGTGGATACCTCGGGCACGTCTCTGACCTTCTATTTCTTTACCCATGAAAGGGAGGAGGTGACAGAATAGCATCTGCCTTACAGGATTAACAAGACGTTTATGGGGGGGAAATTCCCTGGTGGTCCAGTGGTTAGGACTTCGAGCTTTTGCTGCCAAGGGCGCGAGTTCAATCCCTGGTCAGGGAACTAAGATCTGGCACGGCCCATGGTGCTGCCAAAAACAGGCACACAAACAAACAAAAAACCCAAGAAGTTTATGGGATCATAGACCAAATGAAAGCTTTATAAAGCATTACTCACTCCATTAGCTTTAACTATTGTGCTATTTAAAGCACTAACACACCATTGTAAAGCAATTATGCTTCAATAAAGATGTTAAAAATAAAATAAAATAAAAAATAAAATAAAATAAAGCACTTAACACAGTTTCTGGCACACAGCAGGTGCCCGCCAGTTATTAGTGTCTGTACCCCTTCTCTTCCTGCACTGATTTATACTTCTTTATTGCCAGGACTGTTATCATCAGGGATCCATTCAGCAAACTAATAGTGACTTAAATAATAAAGACATTTAATGATCTCACATAAGCCATCTGAAGGCATTGGTGCAGTAGCTCAGCACAGGTATCAGAGACTCAGCAGGTTTGTTCTATATTACCCCACTGCTACCCTGGACATAATAGTTTTTCAGCTTTAGGCTTGGGGCCTCACGGCTGCAAGGTGGTTGCTGCAATTCCAGCCAACACATCCTCCCCATATTCAAGGAAGAAGAAAGGTGTAGCTCAGAAGGACCCTCTTACATGCCTTTATGCTCTATTAAGAAAGAAATATTTCCCCAAAGCTTCTAACAGTCTCACCCTTAGAGTTTTGGGGTCATATGTGGGTTTCATGCTCAGCCCCAGACTAGCCCTTGTCTTGGAAGCATGGCATTACCACGATAAGCCAAGAATGACTAGTAAACATTCCCAGGGACTTGGGGAGGAGGTTACCTTCCTTGAGTGCTTTTCAGTTTTGTTGGTAAGGAAGAGGGATGAATGGCTGTCAGGTGGGCAACCAACAGGGACCACGGCTAGTAAACCTGCTTCCCTTCAATTGTCTAGAATTGTCCTAAGTACACAGTAGGTGCTTAGTAGGTGATAAGGTACCATCCCCCTGAGAAGGGGGCTCCCTCCTCAACTCTGGCTCCTGGTGTGCCCTCCTCCCCTCCCCAGACTGCCTGGGCTCTCACTTCACCTGGCTGCAGGATGTCTTCACCAACTTCCCCGCACTGCTCCAGTTCGTGAATGGTATGAAGTGTGTGGCTGGTCTCTGCCCCCGGGACTTCGAAGACTACGGCTGTGCCTGCAGGTTTGAGATGGAAGGGCTGCCTGTGGACGCGTCTGACAGGTGAGCACGACCAAAACGTGAGCTCGTGGAAGCCCGGCTGAGGCCTGGGCGGAGCACAGATGCGGAAAACTCCCTTGGCTTCGTTCGTGTGTGCAGGTGTATGTGGGTGTGTGCAATAAAATTTAAAATCTTAGAAGCATCCGGGGTTAGCAAGGATATGGCAAGTAGCTACTGGTAGCAGGAGGGTGAATTAGGACAAGTTGGTGGTATCTGTTAGAGTTTTATGCATATCACCTATAACCCAGTACCTCCAATTCTCTGTTCCTAAGGGACTCTGTGATGTTAGGCACGTTCTTTTACTTCTTTGTGTTCCATTTATTCATCTATTAAATGGCGGTAATAATAACACCTACCTCCTAGAGTTATTGTTTAGGATTACATGAGCAAATACAAGTTAAAGTGATTGGGATTTGCCTGGCTTATTAGGTCTGCAAGAGTATTTGCGATTGATAACAATATTAGTAGGGCTGTAGTAGTAGTAGTGATAGTAGTAATAGTATTGTGGGAGTCATAGTCAGGCTGTAATAGTAGTAGTAATAGTAACAACATTAGTAGTAACAATTGTCTAGGTAGCTATAGTAGTATTAATAGTAACAGTGGTGATAACAGTAGTGAGAGCAGCAGCAGCAGTACTAGTAAACTGGTGGTGGTGGTGGTGCTGTTAGTAGTAGTAGTAACAGTAGTAGTAGAATAGCTGTCACAGTAGCTGTAGTAATAGTAATAATAATAATAGTATTAATAGCATCAGTACTAATAAAACTGTAATGGTGGTGGTGGTAGTAGTAGTAGTAACAGTAGTAGTATAACAGTTGTCACAGTAGCTGTAGTAGTAGTAATTGTAACAATAGTAGTAATAGCATCAGTACTAATAAAACTGTAATGGTGGTGGTGGTAGTAGAAACAATAGTAATAGAATAGTTGTCACAGTAGCTTTAGTAATAGTAATAATAGGATTAATAGCATCAGTACTAATAAAACTGTAATGGTGATGGTGGTAGTAGTAGTAGTAACAGTAGTAGTAGAATAGTTGTCACAGTAGCTGTAGTAATAGTAATAGTAATAATAGTAGTAATAGCATCAGTACTAATAAAACTGTAATGGTGGTGGTGGTGGTAGTAGTAGTAACAGTAGTAGAATAGTTGTAGCTGTAGTAATAGTAATAGTAATAATAGTAGTAATAGCATCAGTACTAACAAAACTGTAATGTGGTGTTGGTAGTAGTACTAGCAGCAGTAGGAGTAGTGGAAGTAGTAGTCGTAATAGTGGTAATTGGAGCTATAGTAACTGCAGCAGCAACAGGAGTGTGGAACCAGGAAATTGAACCCACATCTCACCCCTACTCCAGGACCATGTCTGCACCTCACTGGTATTATATTTGTACCCAAATCCAGTGTGATAAAGTGTGTGCTTTCATCTACGCAGACTCCCAGGAGATAGGGAAGGATTCCCATTGGTGTAAGCTGTTTCTGCACCGGAAGGGCAGTGTGTCGTTTCTGGGACCATAAGCCAGCCCGTTGACATTCAGAAAGGGGGAGGCTGAATCTGTTCGGGGCACAGTGCCAGAACCATTTCTGGGAATGTGCTTTCCTTTCAGGTCCTCCCTTACCATTTCCTTTAGTTATTAAAACACCCACAAACCTAGAAGTCAAAGAAATGAAGCAGTAATTCATCCCTGTCTGAATGATCAAAGCGTTGATGGCCAGAACTGGCAGAATGGCGGGCCTACCCAATTTCAATTACTTTACACGTTGGAGGTGATGGAGGTGGGAATTTCCAGACTCCTGGAGGACAGATTATTTCCACCTCGAACTTGCACGCCAGATTCCAAAAACATTGCCCTAGTTTATCGAGTGTCGACCACATGACAGGGCCTTTACAGACATTCTCTTGACTCCCCCAAATTCTCAGGAGCTGGGTAATGTGAGGAACTTAGTAGCTTGCCCATGCAGCTGCCTGTATGTCTTCTGCTTTACACTGGTTTCCACTGCTTGCTGCGTGCACTGCAAGCGCCACCTGACTCCCTTGTTTAGTGTCAGCCTCTCTCTGTGATCAGCCTTGACCTTGGCAAGTTACAGAGCTTTACGTCTCTCACTTTTCACATATGTAAATGCTCCTAAGAATAATAGCAACTGCTGCATAGGTAATACAATTCAAATATCGTGTGTGTGTGTGTGTGTGTGTGTGTGTGTGTGTATGTGTGTGTGTGTGTGTGTGTACCCTAAGTATTTGGAAAAGGCCACTGCCAGAAACCAAGCAGAGACACAGAGTGATCATGTGCTGCCTGCCCCTCTTCTGACCCTAACCCACACTCTCACCCTGACCCTTCCCCATCGTGCCACAGCTGTTGCTTCCAGCATCGCAGGTGTTACGAGCAGGCTGCTGAGATCGACTGTCTGCAAGACCCCGCCAAGCTCAGCACAGATGTCAACTGTGTCAGCAAGAGTATCACCTGTGGTGAGCATCTCCAGGTGTCCCAGGAGGCTGGGCTGAGAAATGACAGTTCAGAGATTGTAGGCCCAGGCTCCCAGGGTCCACCCTCATCATCATCACCATTGGCAACATCACTGTGTATACTTGGAGCCCTACAAGGGCCAGATCTATGGCATCTGTACCTTGCACGGAGTAGAGGCACAACAAATTCTTTTTGAATTGAAACAATAGCTGCTCAGCAGATTATTTGATCTACAATTTTATGCTTGTACCAAGCCTGGCCGCTTGAGAAGAGCAAACAGCTTACTACTTATGCATTGTATGATTTAGGGGGAATACCCTGACCTTCTGCTTAACAACTGGGAACCTCAAAATGGGGAGGAGAAAACCTGCTTCAGAGATTTGTTATAAAAATTAAGTAATGCTTACATGTAAAACAATGTTACATTTAAAAAATGTAAACAATGTTAAGTGTAAAACAGTTAATATGGTGACTGGTATCTGTTGAGAACTCAGTGACAGAAGTTGAGTCCACGAGGGATGAATAAGGCTGGTGTGGTTGTAGGAATCAGGCACACACGTCGGGTCAAATCTCAGCCCTCCACGTTACTAGCTGGGTGACTCCAGGAATTTTCTTTCATGTCTCTGGACAATCCCGGCAGAAGAAGAATAGGCAAAGGCATTGAGGGAAGAGGACCATGGCAAGCTGGGGTAGTATATTAGGGCACCGTCTCTGAGTGCCTGTTATGTGCCACGGATGTTATACACAGCAACTCTGATCGTCCGAACAACCCTATTAGATGGGGGTCATTATCCCCAGTTTTCAGACAAGGCGAGGAAAGCTCAGAGAAATTAAATAACTTGCCCAAAGTCACATAGCTGCTAAGTGGCTAAGGCAGAGTTTGAACCCAGGTTTGACTGGTCCCACAGTCCAGGTCACATGGACTGGCTGGAGTTCAGAGCATCAGGAAGGGTGTAAGTTACAAGGTGAGGAACACAGTGAACACGAAGAAACATGACTCATTCATTCACTCGCTCAACTCACGCGCGCTGAGCACCTACACCAAGTGTAAGACAATCGCCTACATGTTGGGGGTACCCTGACCTTCTGGAATTTCCTCTTGGTTGTCAGACACCGAAAATGTCAGAAACAAATCATACGGTACGTTAGATGATGCTAAGATCTGCGGAAGAAAATAAATCAGAGGAAAGGCATAGGGAGGGCTGGGGTGTGGGTTCCTATTTAAATAAGAAAGTCAAGAGAAGCCTCCTTGGGAAGGTGACAGTTGAGCACAGACTGAGAGAAGGGATGCCAGCTTGCGGCTAATCAGGAGAAGAGCAGAGAGAGGAAGCAGCTGTGGTGGACCCCCGGCTCCAGGTGCCTGGTGTTTCAGAAACAAGGGGGACAGTGGGTCAGAAGTGGGGAGACGGGGGAGGAGTGCAAGAAGGTGAGGTCCGAGAAGGAACGGGGGCAGTGGCTTTTACTTTGAGTGCGGAAGTTGCTCAAAGTTCTGAACACACACGCACACAAAGGTATAGTTTGAAACCTGGGTTTGAAAAGGACCGTTCTGGCCCCTCAGTGAGAAGAGGCTGGGCAGCTGGGCAGGAGGCGGGGGGGCCAGTGAGGTCACTCAATCACCTAGGCAGGGGGTGATCGGGGGTGGAGATGGGGACGCATGTCAGACTCAAATAGGTTGCAAGTAGCCGGTAGGATGGCCTGGTGGATCGGGTGTAAGTGCAGGGGAAAAGGGGCGCCTATGGCTCCCGGGCTGCGCCCACACGGCTGAAGGCATGGAGCTGGCGTGGATGAGATGAAGAAAACCGCAAGAGAATCAGGGCTTTGGGGGCAGAGCGGGAGTCAGTTTTAGAGTTTGCCCCACCTCTTAGGATTCCCAGTGAGCTCTTCCGATCTGCTCTGCCCTCGCTCTGTGTACAGAGTCCGGGGACGCTTGTGGGCACCTGCTGTGTTCCTGTGACAAGGCTGCCATAGAGTGCTTGGCTCAGTCCGGTATCAACTCTTCCCTGAACCTTCTGGACACGTCCTTCTGTCTGGCTCAGCCTCCAGGTAGGAAGATCCAGGCCCTGCATCAGCGGTGGGGATGGCGATCTGCGGCGGGAGCTGGTATGGGACCAATCGTAGCTGTGTTTCTTCAGATGCCAAGTCCAGCACCTTCTAACATTCTCCAAAACCACTTCTCTCATGTGCTTTCTCTTCAGAGACAACCAGCAGGAAAGAGCTGCTGACACTTCTGCCCAGAGGTAAGGTCTTCTCGGGAAGCTGCTCTTGTTTGGACCACAGGGCTCCGGCTACTGATGGGAGTGGGTGGATACACCTCCTCCACCCGGCCTGCCTCACCGAAGCTGGAGTGACCCATGGCACTGAAGGCGTGCCCACATCCCCCAGCCGGAGACGCCATTACTTCTGATAAACTCAGTTCACACACAGAGTCAAATGGCCCTTTCTACGTAGACAGGTGTGAATTTAATCCAGTTAGGACGGAGACCCCAGGTTCTTTCTCTTGGCCTATAGTTGTAAGCAGGACAGGGTCCAGTGCTCAGACGGGGCAAGGCCCCTCCCGGCTGGGGGCGCTCCTGGCCACTGAAGCCTCCCGGGAACAGACCGGCTGTCCCCCTCCTCTGCCCCCCAGAGCCTGCAGCACAAGGAGCTGCCTGGATCCAGGTGAGGCTCCTTGAAGGGGAAGCTGCTTTCTCGTGTGTCACTTTTCAGGACAGGGTAGCCTCCTTATAACTGTCTACTGAACTAAGCAAGGGATGATTCTGACTCTAAAACATGCATCTTATGAAAAAAGTGAGAGTTAAGTTTATGCCCATCATTCCTTGTCTGCCAAAGTTCCCACGATCTTTCAGTCCCAATGCTGTGGGTACCCGGGGATGGGAAGTTCGAGGTGCACCTCAGCCAACCATCCCTCCTTTCCTGGGGCCGGCCTCTCTTTCTCAGAATTAGCACTGCAGTGTTTGTTAAAGAGGAAGCCGATGTGGCTGTGTGTGCGTGGACGCAGGTGTGCCCGTGCCTATGAGTGTGTATGTGTGTGTGCACGTGTGGGTTTGTGTATGGGCATGTATAGGCTGACGTGTGTGTATGGCTGCGTGTGTGCGCGCGGGTTGTATCTCTATGGACGTTCTGAGTCAGCACCCTTTTCTCTCTGCCATCTGCCTTCCCTTTGAACGCAGGTCTTCTCAAATTGGGACCACACTCCATAGGCAAAAACCTTCGGAGTTTGCAGCCCTTTCATCGCCACAGCCTGTGTCCAATGGTGTCGCCTTCCCCACCAGAACCCAGCCCTGGCTGGAGTCCCTCCCGAGGGGGGGTCTTGCTGAGCACCCATGTCCTGGGCGGTGTGCGAGAGGCAGAGGTATCCCGAGGCAGGACAAGCAGCCCTTCTGGGAACGTCTTTTACAGCCCCTTAGCCTCCTGCCCCATCCAGCCATCCAGCCTGTCCTTGGGGACCCTTGGCACTTGCATCCCTCACTTGTTGCTCCTGGGGGCTCTTTTTGCAGTGGTCCCTGTGGAGCCCACGGACTCCAGCCTGACGGCCCTCTCAGGAGAAGATGAACACAGGGGGACCGGTATGGAACCCAAATATCCGTGGGTTGTTTTGTTTTTTTGTTTTCTTCTTTTTGTAGAGTAGCTTTCTTTTTTTTTTAAATTTTATTTTTTATTGGAGTATAGTCGATTTACAATGTTGTGTTAGTTTCAGGTGTACAGCAGTGATTCATTTATACATATACATATATCCCTTCTTTTTCAGATTCTTTGCCCGTGTAGGTTATTACAGAGTATTGAGTAGAGGTCCCTGTGCTCTACAGTAGGTCCTTGTTGGTTATCTATTTTATATATAGCAGTGTATATTTGTTAATCCCAAACTCCTAATTTATCCCTCCTCCACGTTTCCCCTTTGATAACCATAAGTTTGTTTTCAAAGTCTGTGAGTCTCTTTCTGTCGTGTTTTGATTGTGCCAGCTGCCTGCTTGCTGCGATTATCTCCCTTAAAATGCTCCCTGCCTAGGCTTACAATGGAACTGCCTCAGGAACATTCTAGAACCCCTCCTACTTCCTTTTGACTGCCAAATCTCTTCTCTACTTGCTCAGCTTTCTCCCACACTCCTAGTCCCACCTTAGGAGAATTGTCAGATAAAGCGCAGACCCCGCCCTCGACCATCTGACATTGAACTTCAGATCAACACCACATACTCTGTTAATATAAGTATGTCCCAGGATCTGCATGGGACTTACTTCTGCTAAAATTGTATCTTTTGTTCATGCGAAATCCAAATTGAACTGGGCATCCTGGGTTTTTATTTGCTAAATCTGGCAACCCTTCACCTCAGGGAGATCCCGCTGCACACCCACCACTCTACAAGTTTGTGTATTGCTCTCCTCTGCTTCTGCCAGGTTAAAAGCAGAGGCTCATGTGTTCACCCCCAGCCATCCTCCATGTCCAAGGGCATGTCAGCCCCAACGGCTTCCGGACAGCCCGTGCCTTGGAGACCAGGTCCAGAGAAAAGAGGAAATGGCACCAACACCAAACCAAAGCTCCACCACACGCCCTGCTTCCGACCGGCAGCCATTCCCAGCATGACCGGCAGTGGCCATGTCCCTTCTAAATTGAGGATAAGCTGCGGGCTTCACGGCCCCACCAGACAATCACAAAATAACCCCAAATTCGTATATTTTCCACTTTCTTCAGCCTGAACCATCATCCCATCATCCCTTTGTGGCACAACCCTGGAAAAGACTCAAAGTAAATAAGGTTCCTCAACGAGTCTAGAGTCCAACGGGAGGAAGTGAGGGGATACACTCTCATCTTCGCTCCCCAACACACACGCACTCACCCCCTCACATCCATGACCTAGGCAGTGACCACAAATGCCCTCAGAGGAGGGGGCAGCCTGAATGCGGGCTCAAAAATCAATCATGCAGGTGCAGGTGGGACAGTTTGTGAGGAAAAGGTCTGGGGTTTGTAGTTGTTCTCTCGCCATTATGGGATGAAATTATGTTTTGGAGTCAGGCAGATTTGGGATGGATTCCCTGCTCTCCTAGTTTTCATCTGTGTGACTTGGGAATCATGGTTTAAGCTCTTTAAGCTTTAATTTCCCCTTTGCATAAAGCAGGTATCAGCATTTTTTTATGTTAAGGGCCAGATAGTAAATATTTTAGACTTTGTGGACCAGAGGATCTCTGTCGCAACTACCCAACTCTGCCACTGCAGCAGAAAAGCAGCCATAGACAATCTGTAACTGGATGGGTGTGGCTGTGGTGCCAATAAAACTTTATTTAAAAAAACGGGCTGAGGGCAGGGCCATAGTTTACCAATCCCTGGAAAGGGATGATTATCCCGGTCCGTTGTGGTGACCAGAGAACGAGACAGAGCATGGGAAGATTCTGGGCCAGCATCTTCTTCCAAAAATTCTAGTGTGACTACAGAAAACCGCATACAATGTCAAATCACATGCAGGATACTGGACGACTTGCCTAAAATACATCATCTCATTTAATGCTCATACAACCCTATGAAATAATTGCTGTAACCTCCATATTGAGATGGTACATTGAGATGGAGAAAGAAGTTGTCCAAGCCAAGAGCTGGGTGGTAGGGCTGCGATTTGAGGCTTCCACTGTCTCCATCCTTACTTCTAGACCTGAACTCCCTCTTCAGCTGCCTTCCCCAACAAAGCCATTCCAACCAGGGGAAATAATGGCCCTTTCTCCCAAAGAGGTCATTCGCTGGTCTCTTTGCCTAAACACAGCACTGGCCCTTATCTGGCCTCTTGTCCACTGAATTGGGAAGGAATGGTGCAACAACATCCAGACATACTCTGATCAGATTGCCATGGGCCTTCTCTCCTCTGCCCAGCTGAGGTGCTGAGCTGGGTTGGTAACTGAGTTGTGGTGGTTTCCTTTCACAGTGGCAGCTGAGACCAGAGCTGCCCGACTGACCATTCTCTCCAGGACAAGTAAGCAGAGGGGACTACATAGGAGGACAGCAAGAAACCCAGTGGAGAAATGCCATCTAAATATTTGTGTTCAGTTCTGGTGACCAGTTTTTGACATGGCCTGGAGGAAATATTATTATACCCATTCTGCAGATTATATCGGAAACTGAGGCTCTGGGAGGTTAAAAGCCCTGTCATTCAGCAGTGACTTGTAGACTGGTTTCTAACCCCAGACTTCATTCAGGCTTTCTGTTATACAATAATGATTCACAGAGAACAACCTCCTACTTAAAAATATCTAGACCGAGATGTCATCAGAAGAATTAACATATTTACTTTGCTTGTGGTCATTAACAACCATGGCTCCTTCATTAATAAGTATAAATAACCGATAATAACGGTTTACTAATACTAACAGTGACTAAGTAAACAAATGGATTCCTTGCTTAATACGCAGTGACATTGTTGAGGACCTCCGACGTGTCGGCGGGCTCCTAGGCCCCTATGCACCTTCTCTGAGTTAATCTTCCCTCACCCTAGAGGCCCGCTGTTATCCCCATTTTACAGATGAAGGAGGAGCTCTGAGAGGTGGGGTCATTTCCCCAGGGTAGTACAGCTTAGTATTCCTTTAGTTCTGAATCTGTACATTCTGCCTTTGACAAGAACCATCTGCCCCAGCTTAGAACTGCCAAGATTTTCTCTCTCTGCTGAGCATTCGTGTGCACATCAGGAAATTTCAAAGGCTGATTTTCACATAACATCATCATAAACTTGGTCTTTGGCACATTGAAGTTAAGGCAGTTCCTTCCTTTCCAAAGCATTTTGGAGTTCCCACCTCTGGCTCTCTGGGGTACAGCCAGAAGGGAAACAGTAGCCTAGCATAGTGGTTAAGTGGGTCAACTTTAGCCAGGTGGCCCAGGTTTGCATGTCACCATTTCCTGGCTCCGTGACCTTGAGCAAGTGTGTCCCCTTTCTCCTTTGTGAAGGAGGGTGAGCGTAGTACTAACTCACGGGGTTGTTACTGAGTTAATGTAATCGAAACACTTAGTGCTGTCTATGGCATGTAGTGAGTCTTAGTTCATTCTGGCTGCTGTAACAAAGTACCACAGACTGGGTGGCTTATAAACAACAGTCATTCATTTCTCATGGCTCTGGAAGTCCAAGATCAAGATGCCAGCATCGTCAAGTTCTGGTAAGAGTCCACTTCTTAGTTATGGACGGCTGGCTACCTTTTCACTGTGTCCTCACATGGGAGAAGGGATGAGGGAGCTCTCTGGGGTCCCTTTTATAAGGACACTAATCCCATCACACGGGATCTACCCTCATGACTTAATCACCTCTCAAAGTCCCATCTCCAAATGCCATCCTGTTGGGGGTTAGGTTTCAATATATGAATCTGGGTTGGGGGGAAACACACACTCATTCTACAGCATACGAGAAGCTTAGTGACTGTTAAACAGCAACAGATTCATTTCACAAAGAAACCAGGGCTCAGCAGCCTTCCTAGAGCCACACCACAAGCAACTGGAATCACACAGTTCTGCTGCCTTATTCTCCTCTGTTCAAAAAATGCGATTTTTATGTTTATTTATTTTCATTCAAATTCTGGAGAAGTCTGCTTTCTCAAAGTATTTCAACAGCCTCACCTGCTTCTAGCATGACAAGTTGCGACTGTGTTTATCAGCAAGCCTGAGTCTGGGGTTTTTTTTAGCTCAGCAGGGACCCTGCCCTCACAGCTCTCCTGGGAGGCGACCAGGGGTAGAGCAAGGAGCACGTTGCCTCCTGGGCTCAGTGGGATGGGAGCTGCCTCTGAAGACCAAGATGGGACAGACTGGAGTTAATGCCTACTCCCTCTCTCTTCTTCTAGGGACAGAACCAGGCCAAGTCCAGGAAGACACAGAAGATGCAAGGGCCACACCTTCTCCAGGTAAGCGTGCTCAGCTTTGTATATGTTGTATATATTGTTGTCCCCCATATATTTATGAAAGCAAGTGTGTTCCCCAGAATGAAAGAAATCATTGAAGCCACTTTACTTTTATGTCCCCCAGCCCAAAATTAGACAAGTGCAATCAGAAAATAGATCCATTAGTAGGAAGATATTGAAATCTACCTGCTAAAGAAATGCATTTAGAAAAATATAGAAAACTGTACTTAGCTGTCTATTTAAATCCACGTTATAAAAATGGCTACTTTTAATATTTGAGGATGCTTTCCCCCAGTCTGCCCCAACCCACAATGAGCACATCTGTGAACATAAATAAAATGAATCTGAGACCACTTGGCAGCCATGGTTTTGCAGTCTGCATTGTATCACTTCATACAATGAGAAGATATTCCCCTGACATGAAATATTTTTCTGTAACATGATTTTTAGAGGCTGTGCAATGGTTTCTTGTATGGAATCCTATAAATTGTTTAACCAGTTATTTCCAACATGTGTTATTATAAATAATAGATATGCACTTTCTTTATGCCCATCCACTTCTGATATATGCCTAGAAGTTGAATTGCTGGATAAAAGGTATAATCATTTCAGGGCTCTCAATATGTTGCCAAGTTGCCCTGGAGTAAAACTGAACCAATTTACATTCATATGCACATGCCAGGGGCCAACAGTGCCTACTATTATTTGAAAACAAGTAAACAAAAATCCTGTACCCATTTTTAATAGAAAATAAAGGTAGCTCATTATTTTCCACTGTTCCCTCTGATTCACCTTTGTGGGGTTGGAGAGCTGGGCAGGATACTAAACCTAGGAGACTGAGATTACGACAGAACTACTAAAGGGCTGCTTCTAACCCATGAGGACCAGTGTTGAGCAAGCTGAGACAGAAGCCCAGATGTATAAAGCAAACCAATATGGTGGATTTGGGGAAGGACTGCAAGTCAGAGGCCCAGGTCTTACCCAGAGCTCTGGGAGCTGAGCCTGGGTCAGCAGATGAGTGGGCACAGAGCCTACTGAGGCTCCCTAGGTCTGGACCACACTGGGCTGGAGATCTGGCCTGTGGGTTGGAGACCTCTCTGCCTCCAGCCAAAGGAGCTGGTGGGCCTGAGGTCTGAGAGCAAAGGGAGATCCAGACAGTGCCAGGGAGCCTGCATGGGGCAGGCAGAGCCACATCACGGGCAGCCTTGACAGCCATGGAGAGGATCTTGCACTTAATTCTGAGTACGAGGAGAAGCTGATGCAGTGCTTTGAGGAGTCTGCATTACTGAGTACTGTGAGTTGGCTTAATCTCTCCACCATTCTTTTTATCTCTTCACCCGCGAGCATCATCATGGACCTTCGCTCGGCAGGCTCACGATGGTAAACACAGCACAAATATAGGCCTGAGAGGCTATGACTTTTCTCGCCCACGAGATGTCATCCAGGTGGCCTAGCTTGGGGTCCTGTCAGTTTTAATGTTATCGTAGGAAATTTGGAAATTCTCACGTAGTGTCCATGGATCCCCGAGTCTCTGCCCTGATGCCTGCAGACCCAGTTTGAAGACACTCTCCCGATGCTCTGTCTGCATTTGGCCCTGACTACATGTCCATCTGCAAACCTCCTCTTGAACCACTTTTCAGATATGGACCATAAAGGTATGTGTTTTCAGGGTCTGCAGAGATAGTTGCCACAGCTAAAGGTGTAACCATCGTCCCTGCCGGCATTAAATCTCTGGGGTTGGCTGTGTCATCCGTCAGAAGTGGTCCTGAGGAGACGTCTGGAAAAGGTGAGCAGAAGCAGGCAGAGATGTCTGTCCTCTCCCAGCCTCGGGATCCCCTGGTGAAGTCGTTAACCAAGCCCCTTCGGCTACCGCATCGTACTGTGACTGTCCCACTTGGTGCCACTAGGAGGCGCCATCCCTCCTGCCGCTTGAGCACTTCCATTCTCAGAGCGGGCAGATGAGCCTGCAGCCATCAGCGGCTGGAGGCCGAGCCGGGGAAAGGAACCCCTGACCGAGGGCTCTTGTCGCTCTTACTGGCCCTGAAGGAAAGAGCTTGGCGTCATGCGCAGCGTGGTTTGCTGGAAAGAATGAAACACTTGGGTTTGGATGGTTCTCCTCCCTCGGGTGCCTTGGCAAAGGCCCCGCACCGGCAAGCAGCCACAGCCAGTGGGACACACAGGAGGACTCTGCTCATGCCTGGGCAAGCCCTCCACGCATGCAAGGCTCTCGAGAGGGGGGCTGGGGAGGAGCCCTGCGCAGGCCTCCGGCTTCGTGGTCCTTCCCCCTCTGAACTGAGGACAATGGAGTTTGCACTGTGGACTTTCGCCTAGCTTAGCACAAGTTGCAGGCTGAGGAGGGGAGAGGAGAAGGAGGCCAGAGAGAGAGACAGAGGGTCCTTGTTTCTCATCAGCCTGTGACAGGTTCACCTTCCTGCACCTGGGAAGCGGGGGCAACACTTGGGTGATGCCACAGCTTGGAGAGATGCTCTTTTGTCTGACATCCCGGTGCCCGGAGGAATTTGAATCTTACGGCTGTTACTGTGGGCAGGAAGGACAAGGCGAGCCAAGGGACGCTCTGGACAGGTACGGCCGGGTGAGGATGGTGGGTGGGCGGTGTTGGTGCTGCAGTGAGAGATGACAGCCTTCCTCGATGTCGGACATCGCTTCGGGCTCACAGAGAGCTCGCCGAGTAGCATTATTTCACTCAGGAGGGCCTGTTGCCATTATGGTCCCATTTTCCTGATGAGCAGTTGAGGCTCCGAGGCTGACCTGTCTGAGGTCCTTCAGCCACAAAGGGGCAGAGCCGGGCAGACCCAGATCTTTCGATTTGGTCTAGAGCTCCACCACGAATACTGCCCAGCTGCTCTAAGACGGTCAATCTGCAAAGACACTTCAGAAGACCCCAAATCTGCCTATTTTGCAATGAGCAGCATGTAGAATTGGGGTCCCTAGTTGATTTGCTCTGCAGGATGACACACTGAAATGAGCTTCTCAACAACTTTTAAGCATAATTGTCAAATTTTTTACCTACTGTTCTTGGAAGAATTTTCACTGACCTCATGCATTCATCAATTTATTCCTTCATTTATATAGGCATGCAGCCTACATTTATTGTGCTTTTGCTCTGTGTTGGGCACTGTGCTAAGGTGCTGGAGACATAAAAAGGATTAAACCTAAACAAAGCGGATTAAAACAAACTGCCTCTGCCCCATGGGACGTTGCTGAGTGAGAGACATGGACAATTCAACAAAGTACCACCTGCTGTAACAAATGCAGTGGGGACACCGAGGAAACGATGGGGAACTCAACCTGGAGATGAGTTAGAGGAAGATGCTGAGAGCAGAACTGATCAGGTTTAAAGACTAAACTCACGCAGTTCACAGCCAGTTAGAGCTCTAGTGAAATTGTGTATGTCCGCCTCCCATGTTGGGCTTGCCAGGGGAGAATCAACAACTATAGCTGAGAGTGAAAAAGACGAGTCTTACTGTAGTTAACACAAAGGGATACAGTACTGGCAGGAACATGGAACATGTCCACTGCAGGTCACGTGGTGTCTGCATGGCTGTATGACTCACGCACCCACCTACCTCCACAATAGCTCTCCTGTCTCTACTGCACAGTCATCCCGCCCCATCATGCAACCTTTGCAGGGTATTCCGGGAAATCAGGGGCTCTGCTGCCCAGGCAGACTTCAGAAAATGTACCTCCCACCAGGTGATAGTGAAGAAGTTTTTATTCTAGCAAAGTGTACACCACACTGTGGAATCACTGTGTTTTCATCATGGGCTTGACAACATGCCCTCTACTCTCCAAGACAGAGAACCATTTAAGGATTGTTCCTGAGTCCACAGCACTCAGTGAGATAAGGCAAATAGAAATTTAGGTAGCAGTAGTCACTGCGTTCTGCTGAACCCTATGGAAAGAATATGGGGGTGCTGTTGAAGAGGCTTCCTGACTACTGACCATATTTCACAAAAAATATGAGATTTGACCAGGCAGCAAGTGAGCTATGATACAGCTATGATACAGCTATGATACAGCTTCCTTGACATCCATTAGGAAGAAATGGAAAAATGGCTATATGGCTATAGCCTTGAACAAGGAAGGGTTAGTCAAAATGATATTATTTTCTGCAACGGTGTCTTTTCCAAACCATGCATACTTTATATCCTGAGACATTTGAATGGCTTTCAACGGTAGTTGGATCATATATGATTTCTGATTCACTGACTTTAGATTTTAACTATTATATAAACTATCCACCGCCACCCACCCCAGCCGAATGCCACACAAGACAGTGGCTCGGCCGTCATAACAGCAGAATGGGGGCTGCAGTTCTCATCCCACACAGGCTAATGTGATGTGAGAGGTGGACTGTTCCTCCTCCGACTGCCGGCACCATGGAATGGGTGGTGAAGCCCATACGTGGTCAAGCACAAGCACTACCGAAAAGCCCCGCCTCCGGCTGTGGCCTCCAGGACTGAGTGAGAGTGGTTAAAGGACAGGGGAGAGTTGAAAAGAGAGGATTAACGAGCAATTGTAGCCCCCTATGGGTTGGAGCCATCACAAGTTCCCTCGGGGTGTCCATCAGCTGGGGGCACACTGTGAGGCTTTATCAGGCCAGATGGGTGGGTCTAAAAAGCAAGAACATGATCCATTCTCATCTATTTCCTGAGGTCTTGCTCTTTGCTGGACACCTTCCTAGATGCAGTTCTTTATTTACGTTCGAGATAGTTACTCTGTTCTCTTTTAAGGCTATGGACAAAGGGGGTACCTTATAGATGTGAGATTAACTGTTCTATTATGTAAAAGGTTGGAGGGAGTGGGTTATTTTTAGCCCATATGGTATGCTAGAAGTGGTACCCCTTCCTCAAGACTCTTTATTTCCATCTTTTGGAAAATTATTGTAATAAATATGCAAGTCACCCATCTTTTCAGTCAACAGAGTCACAATAAAAACACCAAGTTTTTTAAAAAAGAGTAAGATACATCCGGTATGATGGACACTGCCTTAGATGTGGCATCCTTGTGCAGTCCACAACCTGAACAACCATACATGGTGGCCCTTGGGATGTATATAAATGAGTCCACTGGCACTGGAAAGGAGGCACTGGCTTCTGTCATCAATATAGGCAGTATGGGATAAGCAGGCCTGGAGGGAGTTCTGGGGACAGCTGGGGGCTCTAGGCAGTAAGCGATTTTCCTTGCTCTTAGGTGCTGTTTGTCCCATCACTGCTGCCTGGAGCAGGTGAGAAGGCTGGACTGCCTGCTCGAGAGGCTTCCTCGGTCACCAGTGGTATGCGTGGATGGTACCCCCAAGTGTAAGTGCTGTGAGCCAGCAGAGTGGGTTGTTCTTTCATTCAAGTCAGCATCAGGACCACAGCTCATCTTATAGCTGCTTTCCCAAGCACTTGTTCATCTCTAATGTGATTTAAAACGTTTCTTAACTTTGAGGCACACATTAGTACTCCTATTCCACTGAGGAGGAGACTCAAGTTCAAGAGGCTAAGTCAGCTGACAGAAGTCACAGAGCCAGTAAGAGCAGACGGGGAATAGTGTAAATTACCCATGCTTACTGAGTGCTTCCCATGTGCTCTTCTGAGTTTTTCATGTGTATTAACAGAGTTCATCCTCACACCAATCCTATGAGGTAGCACCACGAGACTTCCCATTTTACAGAGGCGGCGACTGAGGTCCAAGACCACACAGGTAGAAGGAGGTGATAGAACTGGGGCTGGAACTGTGAAACCATAGAGCCTCAGACCCAGAACCGAGTCTTCACTGAGCCAGTGGGTCTCTTTTCCTGAGAAGCAGAACGCTTTTCCCAAGTGAGGTCCCCTGAGGAAGCCCATAAAAAGGGGAGTGTCTCCGGCTGAAGGAGGAGGTGGGTCTGCATCTCCACTCCTCCCAGGTGTGGAAGCCAGAGGTGCCTCCATGGCCATTCAGGGCCTTGGCGGGGGGGAGAGGGGGGATATTTGGAAACAGCCCCACCCTCAGGAGCCTCACTCTGTTGGGCTTGCTTTACAACTGGCTTCATCTCCATCCTCTGGCTGCACTTCCCCATGTACATCAGTGGAGGTATTTCCCTTACCCTTTGCAGTTTAAAAGGAAATGGTCCCTATAGCACTTCTCGAGAGCCCTGAGAGGGTTTGTCTCACCCTCACTTTTTATCTGGGGAAGCCCCAGGCTGAGGCTTCAGTGCCACCTCCTCCCTCGGCCTCCAGGAATCCCGGCCTTGGAGGATCGTGTGTGCCTCTCACCTCCCAGGAGGGAGCTCTGTGCTTTACATGTCACTTACTCATTCATTCCTTCACCCAATTATCTGCGTATCCAAAAAACCTCCATCGGGACCTAGGAACACAGTGAACAGACATGATCCCTGCCTCAAACTGCTCACAGCCCGCAAGGAAGAGAGACAAGCAAGGGACTCTTCTATTATCATTAGTATTGCTACAAGGTGGTACAGGTGCCCAGGACCGTGGTGAAAGGGGTTTTGAGCCCGTGGAATATGGCAGCCAGGATGGGAGAATTTGGGAGAAGTTAGAAGGGCAGTGAAGGAGGTTTTCCAAGAGGTTAACAGGTTCCCAGGTGGCCGTGCTGGGTGTGGGTGTTCCAAGAAAAAGGAAGAGAAAGACTGTGGCCTTTGGGGAACTCCTGGCAGTTTGGGAATGACACGTGGTTCTGTATTTCGGGAAGAGATAGTGGGAGTCGCGGGACCATGGTGATGCAAGGTGAGGCTGGCGAGACAGGTACCAGATCACGAACCCAAGGCTGAAACATTTATATTTTGTCCTCTAGGGGGTGAGAAGCCAGGGGTGGGTTTAGAACCCATGAGTGACAGGATCAGATGATCGTTGTCTGTGATGCAATCATGCCTTGAGGTCCCACCTGCTCAGCTAAAGGTGCCTTCATCCCTCTGGTCTCACTGAATCCAGGAAGGTTGTGTGTGTCGTTCAAACTCCTACAGGGCTTCTGTGAACTGGTTCCGACCCTCTGTGAGCCCTGAGCACCGTGTCCTGTAGCAGCTGCAGGTGTCGGGTTGTGAGAAATAAGGGCATCTCGGAGCCTGCTCCGGGCCACCCCACATAAGGCACAGGGGCCCAAGTGCAGAGCTGCTCTGGGGAACAGGCTCAGGTCTGGGTCCACTCTGCTCTTCCATGTCTCCTCTTTCTGCCTCCTGCTGTGGAGATGCAACGAGTATGTCTGGGGCTGATGTGAAGGCCAGGGTAGGAGATGTGGAGGGTCAGTGTGATGAGAAAAATTCTGGTTGACGAATACTTCGCGGTAGGATCAGACAAAAAAACATTAAATGGACCAAATACGTCTTTGAAAACCACAGACAAGGATAACGTTTGCAGAATGCTTGCCTATGTCCGAGCACCTTCAAATACATTATTTCCTTTGAATCACACGCGTGTTCTGCATGCCAACCCACACTACATGCAATTGAAACCTTCAAGAAATGAAGTAGGGTCACCAGACGGAGCAAATAAAAATACAGATAGCAAAAATACATGTATTTCTGCTGTGATAGTAAGAACCACAGGGTGGGATTCGATGGGAACCCACAGGAAAGACACTCCCTTTAGCCAGAGGGGCTGGAGGAAGCTTTCTGGACGTGGTGGGGGGATGCCGGGTGGATTCCTGACGGACGAGTATGCGCTAACCAGGAGGAGAAAGTTAAGAATATTCCCAGTAGAGGACTCAGTGGACGCAGGACCAAGAGGTTCAGGACGGAGCCGGGGAGTACAGGGCGGAAGGGGCAAGCATCCTGCGGTGTCTCAGGTCTGCTACTCTGTTCTTGCCCCCTAAGGTGTAGGGCAGAGCCTGTGTGAGAAGCTGCTTTGTGTCTGTGACCAGACAGCGGCTGAATGCCTGGCCTCTGCCTTCTATAACCAAAGCCTCAAGTCACCTGGCAGACAGGAGTGCCAGGGCCACCGGCCGTCCTGTGAGGATGGCAGGATTTCAGCTTCGTCCCTTGGCTCCAGCTCTGAGGAGAACAGCGTGGAGGCCCCGCCGCCCAGGGAGGGCCTGAGAAGAACCAGAAGATTCCTGGGGAAGTCACTTGGTCTCCTGGGGACCAGGCCACAGCGTGGCCCCAGATAGATTCCCAGAGAAAATGACCATCACACCCTATCGTTCTGTCCCTCCTGCTACTGTAACCTCTCTGGGCCCATCTCCATCCTCTCTGTCCTCAGCAGAGGCTCAAAGCGGGAAGAGGCAGGAAGACCCTTGCACATGTGCACTGTGATGTTTGTCAGCTCACATCCAAATGTGTCTTTGGGGAAGGCAAACGAGGGGGTGGTTATATGTTTCCTGGAGTGCACTGTAGGGGCTCAATAAATATTCCCATCAACGTGCACTGTAGGGGCTCAATAAATATTCCCATCAACGTTTCTTTGTCTGGTTTGGTTTTGAAGATGCTGGTACATGAATAGATGGCAAAGGTGAGATGGCAGAGGAACGGAGGAGGAAAAGATATCTTCACTCCCCAATCACTGAAATCACAATCTTCTATTAAAAAAATACAGAAGGGAGTATGTTTAATCAATCTTATGAGATCACCTATGAGTCATCAATAACCCACCAAAGACATATGCCAAGGACTGAGATGACAGCTCTTCCGGTATGTTATTAAGAGAATGGCCTCAGCCACCTCCATGAAGAATCACTGATAACCCTGTCTTGGGTCCGGCAATATTAAATTGACTTAAAAAAAAATGATAGGGTTTATCCCAGTGGCTGGACGTTTGGGGGATGCCAATGCCCACTCAGACACAGACAAATATAATAGGAATTACAAAAAAATGGAAATTATATCCCTCCATCCATCCATCCATCCATCCACCCATCTGATAGTTATTGAGATTTTACTGTGCATCAGGCAAAAAGGCAATGTGCTTCCGGAATCGCCTTCAATATTTCATAAGGACACGAACTATAGTTCACATCACCTCCTTGGTTCTCTGTTCCCATAAACCACGTGTCCTGCAGTGAGACGATACAGGGTCCCTGCCTGCTCCTCAGACAGGCGGGAAAGCAGAGCCTCTGAAGAGTTCGTGTTTGTGACCTTCTCATGGTGTGGAGCTATCCTGACGTTAAAGAATTGAAAACCTTAAGAAATCAAAAGGTCGTGGTGCCAAGCCAGCAGCTGATACCCTTCCCTACCTTCCAGGGAAATCACCTGATGAGCACCTTTTGATGAACCCAACACATTGGAATCTTTTTTTTTTTTTTTTTGCATGGCACGTGGGATCTTAGTTTCCCAACCAGGGATCTAACCCGTACCCCCCGCAGTGGGAGCGTGGAGTCTTAACCACTGGACTGCCAGAGAAGTCCCTCACGTTGGAATCTTTTGAATAATGTGACCTTTTAAGTAACAGCTGAAATTTGGGTCCTCCCAGAAGCGGACCCTTAGACAAGGACTTGAGAGCAAGTGGTTTATTTGAAAAGTGCAGGAAACGCTGAGGGGAGAACAAAGGGATAAGACGGCAGAGGAACGGTAGCCAGTGAAAGCTGCGTTACCAAGGCAGTTGCCCCTGGAAGTAGAATACGCGCGCGCGCGCACACACACACACACACGCTGCGAGAGGAGACAGACCACCTTCTATCAGATCAGTGTTTCCTCCCATGGAGGGCGATGTCTCCTGCCTGCTGCACCTGGCGGCCGGAGGCTCTGGAGGCTGAGGAAGCCTTTAGGCAAAGAAATGCAGGTGAGAGTGTCTGGCAATCAGCCTGCAGGCACTACAGCGGTCATGGCGAGGCGGGCCACTAACGGCACTCCCTTCCTTTAACCCAGCAGGTGTGTGCTAAGTGTCTGCTTCCCACGGCCGGCACCGTGCTAGGCTGCCCACACGTATGGTGACTGCCTGCCTTCTCCACACCTTCACCTGAGGCAGCTGAATGTTGCTGAAGGACAAAAGCAACTGAGCTGACCCACTTCCCTTGAAGCTCATGACCACAGAAACCTCAAATGGATGCTCAACCTTTTCTTAGTAAGCTGAGTTTTCTGCTCTCCAAGACAACTGTTTGGTCCCTTTCCTCCTCTCCTCAAACCTTCCACACCTCCCCTTGCTCTCAGCTGAGAACTGTCCAGAGCGGAAGGGTCTGAGATTTTACCTTATTTGTAACTTAACAAGTTGGTCTGCATTTCATGGATGCTGGCAGAAGATACGAGATGCTTGGGTCAGAGACAAAGGACTTTATTACTTACAGTAATGGCAGTAGCCTGAGTATGATAATTTATGCTGGTTCCTCAAGCCCTGGGCCAATGCAAAGAGGGTCAGGTAACACCTACACACAGGGTGGGTTTCATTACACAGGGAACCTAAAATATTTATTTATTTGCCACAAGCCTGCCTTTTACCCCAGAAAAGAGATCATCTGTATTATACAGGACAAGAAGCATGTCTGTCCTTGGCTCCAAAGGGAGATGCTATCTCTGTGTTCCAAGTCTGTAGGATGTACTATATCCTTAAAAAAGATAATCCAGAATAAAGATAGTGTCTCTGTTCACAAGACATGCAGAAATGCAAGGCACATGGCTACAATGACCTCACCTAATACTCCATTGAGAAAACTGAAGTTTTCCCGTGGGAATGTCCTGATCTTCTTGCCACCAAAGCTACAAAATTACCGGCGGTCTTTGTCTTCCTTCCTGTTTCAATGAAAAAAGTGTTCCTTATCCATGTCAAAGGTCAACCCCTCCACCTACGCTCTGGGTACAGTACCCCCCTATTGCCTTTTCCAGGGCTTGATTCCTGCAAACATTTCCTTTTTATTCTATATCAATTCATCCCTCTCTTCTTCTATATCATTCTAATCAGCATGCAAACATGCCCTAAAGTCTCCCATCTTTAAAAAATCTCTCCCTTGACTCATTAAACTAAGATGGTGGAAACATGAAATTATAAATCTGATGCTCCTAGATTTAATCTTGTCCTTGTAAATACCACACTAGGTGGTGCTATACTGGGTATCTTTTGCCTGACTTCACATCATCCAACCCTTACTCCAGATCCTGCCATGATAACCGGTTCCACACAGGCTTCCACCCGCCTCATGCACGGGGGTGGAATCTGACAACGCCTGCCTTCTGCACTTCTACCCTTCGTGCATGCGACACAGGACTTCTCTGAGAAAAAGGCACGGCACGCCTTGCGAAACTGCCCGGCACTCAAGCACACACAATCCAAAAGCGCGGGGGAGTTAATGTCAACAGGGCCACCCTTGACCATGAAGAACAGAAGTGGAGCATACATGCTTCCCCCCCTTTCATCACCTGGGTGGACAGTTCTGAGATTAGTTCATGAGACTCCTCAGGCTGTCCGGTAGGATGGATCTCCAGTCACCTATGGTGCTGGTAATTCATAAATAAACCCTCTTAATGAGCTTTTTCTCATTGCACTTCACTGGTCCGGTCCCTTGCTGGGGTTCCCTGGAATCACTTCCCAGAGCAATTCCTACATGTAAGCCTTTGTCTTCGGCTCTGCTTTGGGAGAACCTAGGCTAAGTTACTGGCTTCCCAAGTCTGCCTGTGACTCAAAGTGTAAGTACAAGGCGAATGTAATATAGCAAAACTAAGAGGCAGGGCTCGATGCTACACACTGGCTCTGCTTTTTCATTCATGTGAACTTATGTATCAGATGAGAGAACAGGACGCAACCAATTACAGCTGAAAAGAAAATGCATGAGAGAGTGTATCACACAGGCTGCTCATTGTACACCTAAAGAAAACAGGTTCAGAAAACTGGAATGACTGGCCTAAGACTGCAGAACTGAGACAGCTGCCCAGGTTGCTTAAGATGCTATGCATGGTGAACTCAAGGATTATTCATGACAAACACTGACTCAGTGTCTAGTCTGTGCCACGTAGGCATGACACGAGGAACCTCTTCTAAGTGATTCATCTACCCCTCAACAGATGACCTCCGAGGGCAGAACATACTCTCCTCATTTTACATACTTCAAAGCTCAAAGTTCCGTCACTGCCTAAGGCTACGGCCAGGAGTGGCAGGGTGGGGTCTGAAGCCAGAGCCCGTGCTCCTCGTTGCTCTGCCAAACTGCTAAAGGAAGTCCCCGAAGCCCATCTGGCTATGGTGGGCTTTCCTGCCGGCGGCAGGAGAGCAGACCAGGTGGCAGAGGGTACTAGGGAGGAGCTATCGTTTTAGAGAGAGGCTTCATGTAACTTACACAGCAAAGGGGTAGGGTTGAAAATACAAACAGTAAGACTAATGCAAAGGTGGAAACCGTGCTTTCACAGGCACACACTAAGAGCTGAATCTTAGCTTGTATCTTACCACGACTGCAGTTATGGTTCTGATTCTTCCAATGTATGTGAGGATGAATCCGTTTGGCGGCTTGATTTTCACTGAAGTTCTTCATTTTTAACTAAAGCAAAATAGTGAATACGTTTAATTTAATAAATGCAATGGCTATTACAAAAATGTACGTATACAGAAGTAATTTGATTTTGTTTTATTGCTTACATATGAATTGCACAGTGAACTGTTACATTTCAAAAAACTCAATTTAGTACATTTAGTACATATATTGGCATGAATAAAACAAATCAGTACCATTTTCAGAAAGGAAGAAAAGAGATATTGAGAGGAAGGGGAAGTTAACTGCTGGTTAAGTACAGTATTATGATTCTAAAAGATAATGAGTTCAGAAGTATTAAGGAAGTGTGTGTGTGTTTAGGTTAACTCCAATGACTATATAAGCAAAGACAACACAAGTATAGGAGGAACATTTCAATGTTAACTATTCAATGTCAAGGAAAAAAATGAATGATATAAGCAACAGTATATAGCAAAAAGAGAATGATTAACAGTTTTTATTAAGAGTTTTAAATATCTACAAAAATATAGCAATACAGTGAACTTCAACACATCCTAAACTTTCAGTATCCAAACTGGCTGTAATATAGTAGGCATACCTATGACGTGCAGGATCTCCTGCAATCTCCTGGAAGGGACAGAAAGCCTAAGAAAAGACCCCTCATTTCTTGGGAATCGTTGTTAACAAGACCAGTTCAGTAATCTAGGATATACAGAAGTCTACTGTGATTTAAAAACAACTACAACAGGAAAAAAATCCCACAAAACCCAAATCTACAGTTTACAAAACAGACCAAGAGGTGTGATAAACATTAACTGAAATGGTTTTCCTTTACATGCTATACATGCATTTTTAAATCACAGAGAAACATGAAAGTTTGTAGAGCAAAGTTTGTTTTGCATGAGTGCAAATGAATATATATCTTCTTTTCTTATACTATTAAATTATATATATTTTTTCATACAAAAGCACACAGTGTTAATCTATAAAATGACATCCAAGTGGATGATGATTGTTTTTGCATGTCCCCCTGCTTAGATTTTTACACAATCTTTCTTTAAAAATACAGAAAAAAAGGGAAATTAAAAAAACGTAAAACTTGGCCTATTAAATGGTGAAACATTTTACCTCGTCAAGAGGTAAAGTTACAGTGACAGCTGCAATGGGGGCCATTTAACCCCCCAAGTGGTGACTGCACTATCACTTGGAAAACAATGTCTTGTTATCAACAGTGAGTAAACCACCCAGGATGTTTGAGTATCATTTGATAGGTTTAAAAAGACTAGGATCTTCTGCAAGATGTTTCAAGATGCTGTACTTTGGTTTAATTCAAAAAAATTTTGAGTATGCTTGTTCTATTATTACTTCCTCACTTTTTTGTTTCTACTAAAGGTGCCCAAATAATTGTAAACACCAAGTAATAACATGCCTTTCTTCACTGCAATTTTTCAAACGAAATCTAAAGACTAAAAATGCAATTATTTTTTGGGTTACAATTTTTGATATGTATATTGTTTTATGTAAAAGGGAATCAAATCTGAAAAGGTAGAATTATAAACAGATTATTTTATTAAAATGTCCTAAAAGAATTTTATGAGTTGCAAAGAAAATTGTTCATTTTTGCCATGTGATGGAATTCACTAAAATGTACACAATTTTAAGAACACTGTAAGTCTGTCAGCACGTGTAATCTTGGTAGCTTAAATTGACGATCTATAGCACACTTGATTGCTAAACCCATAGGCACTCTTTTCAAATGTAATATCACAAATCCTAAACAGAGATGCATACAAGTTGCAGTTCAAATCTTACAAACTGAAAGTCCATTCGGGGCCTTTTTTGACTATAAGGATTTAAAAACTGCACAATATTAAAATGTAAATTAATATGCTCTCAACAGAAATCAAAATGTACACACTCTTCACAGGTGAACTAGTAGCTGTTTTAAATGTCTTTTTTTCCTATACTAAATATATAGCTCATTTAATTAATGGAGCCACAGCAAAATACTACTATAATTTCAAAGCATAGTCTGTAAACTAAAACATCTAATGATGTAAAAAATATTGCACAGTTCAGTACTCCAAGAGCAAGCTCTGAGACTCTCAAGTAGAACGGTCAAACTTTTGGCAGAAAACACAGTATTACAAGAATTAGACACTTTAAAGTCGGAGATTTTAGGGTCATATTCTAGGAATATTACTCAGTAAATGTCATCTCCACAAACAAGGTGAGGAATGACTGTCACATACCGTTACAGCGAACGAACGGAGGGATGCGCACCACGACATCTAGAACATGGGGACCAAGAGCCACAGAACAGTTCTGCTGCTCCAGGATAGGAATATATTTGTACGTTTTTGCTTTTGCAGATAAAGAAAAACAACAGCAATTCTAATTTTAAGCAGTTGCGTAGATGTCTAAGAAATACAGTAGACACTTGATACATCTTCAACCCTCTGAAGGCTTAATTTTTTTTTAAATTACATGTTTGTGAAAGTTTTTAAATATACTATTTAACAATTAATGTGAGACCAATATACGTTCAATTTTAAAAGCCATCGGGAACCTAAAAAGAAATTAACATGGCATAAACCTATCTTCAAAAGTACTCTAAATCATATAATATAGCTGCAAAATATCTAATCTGATATGCCAAGCATTCGGTTAAAGATAAATTCCATCATAATTTTCACGAAGTATGTTAACACACATTAAGTAAACCCTGAAAACTCAGCTTGGCCCTAATTTTTAGGCTTTATGCTGAGGTCTTCGTGAGCCACTCAGTACACACACAGATCTGGAAACTTCATCTCGTAGACCGGGACAGACTGGTATTGGGCGTGCCCAGAAGTAATGGTCAGTGTTCCTGATGGACTGGGAGGAGGGCTGTAAAAGAGCGAGGCATCGTCAACAGGTGCATTGCAAAGCTGTTCACTTCACGGAGCACTCTCGCTACTACCTGCCAGCAGCAGAGTGAGGCTCCTTCATCGCAGGGATCAGTGTGACGGAATTGCGGGCCAGCTACAAGGTGGCATGGCACATAGATCACAGTGGTACCAAGCTGTTTTTAAGTCTGCACTAGACATTCTCCTCTGAATATATGTATATATAATTTTTACAGTGGGATTATGCTATACCCACTCATGTAAGCTTGCTTTGTTTCACTAGTAAAAAATCTTATATATACATATATTAACTTCTTTTGATGACCACTGCATGGTACTTCAATATATAGATATATTATAATTGATTTACTTCAACGGACAGACGTAGGTTCACTTTTCATTATCATAAATAATGCTGACAGGTCTATTTTTTTTTTTTTTTTTTTTTGCAGTACGCGGGCTTCTCACTGTTGTGGCCTCTCCCGTTGCAGAGCACAGGCTCCGGACGCGCAGGCTCAGGGGCCATGGCTCACGGGCCCAGCTGTTCCGCGGCACGTGGGATCTTCCCAGACCGGGGCACGAACCCGTGTCCCCTGCATCGGCAGGCAGACTCTCAACCACTGCGCCACCAGGGAAGCCCCTAGGTCTATTCTTATACATAATTTTATCCTGTCTCCTTGGTTTATAGTCTTACAAACAGAATTTCTGCATCGAAGTGTATTTACATTTTTGAGACTGGTACACATTGCCATAATACTGGCAATTCATACTTTCAACATCTGAGTGTAGCCATCCTCTTACACCATTATAAATATTGGGTATAATCATTCTTTCTTGTTATTTTAATCTTTGGTACTCTGGCAGGCAAAAGGGAATTCATTCTTTCTTTTATTTTCACATTTCGGGTTACTACTAATGCTATATACCTTTGTAGATTTGCATCCATTCTGCGTTTCTTTTAAAATGAATTGTCTGTTTGAGTCCACTGCCTGTATTTCTACTCAGCTATTTTTCTTTTATCAGTTTCGGAGACTGATCTTTTGTCACATGATACCAATGTTCTTCCCTCAATTCATTACTTCATTCTTATCTCTACCATAGATAAAGATACTGACACTTTCATCATTCAAAAAAGGTCCTTTGTGTCCTCAACCAATTTCTCCCTACTCCCACATACCTGTACACATACACCCACATCCAACAGTAACTATGTTCTGATCCCTGTCACTGAAGGTTAGTGTCACTTGTTCTTGAATTTCACATGGTCTATACAGCCTATAGGAATGGTCCATACAAGCTATACTCGTTTATGTTTGATTTCTTTTGCTCAATGCATTTTTTAAAATTTACCCCCAAAATGTGTTCCTTTTTACTGCTGAATAGTATTTCACTATTGTAAGAGTACCACTATTTGTCTACTCTCTCTCCATTCTCCTGTTGATGGGCATCTGGTAATTATGAAAAAAGCTGCTAAAACATTCATGTACATGTCTTTTTGTGAATCTAAGTTTTCATTTCTCTGGGCAAATACTGAGATATGGGATTACAGGATCAAGAGCAGGTATATGTTTAACTTTATAAGACACTGCCGAAGTTTTGCCAAGTGTACCAATTTATACTCCTATGAACAATATATGCGAATTCTTCTATAATGTCCAATATACTATTAAGCCCATCCAATGACATTTTTTTCTTTCAGATATCATAACATTCAGTTCTTGAACTACAATTTGGTTCTTTTTTAGACTTTCCATTTCTCTCCTAAAATATACATATTTTTTCCTTTAAATTCTTTGATATGTGTGTGTGTTCTTTTAAGGTCATTGTCTACTAATTCCAATAATTGGATCAATCATCTGTGGGGCTGCTTATTCTTTTTCTGTATTTTCCTGCTCCTTTGCATTCCTTGTAATTTTTTTCTTATTGTACTAAGGTCAAAGTGAATGAAGGAACAATGGAAACTGAGATATAATATTGCTTATTTTGTTTCTTTTCTCAAGCATACAAACTCTTTTCTCTATCTGGTAGTTAGAATGAGGCAAATTAACAAGAGGAAATATATCAAATAGAAACTGAAAACCCTGAAGGTACACTAAGAAGTCTATTTCATTTCTCTGTATCATGTAAGGTACCCAAAACTACTACTTCCTAACTAGGTGACCTTGGATAAATTACCAAACTTGTACGTGCATCTGTTTCTACATTTGTAAAGTAAAAATAATCACTACATCTTTTTAAAATCTGTTGTAAACACTAAATGAAAGAATGCACTTAGCACAGTGCCTAGAACACGATAAGTGTTCAGTAAATAACTATTAGCAGTAAGGCTTAATAAATACATATTATTATTAGTAGTTGCAGTACCAATGAAACCGAATTAGTCATAATACTTATTCTAAAATATTAAATCCATATAGTTATGATAGTGTGATTAAATGTAACATGGTGGTCTCTAGCAACATTTCTTTTAAGAACATGAGTTATGGATTTGAATTTTGATTATTTCCACTCACTAGCTGGATAAACTTCAGCTAGTTACTTTACTTCTCTAAGCCTCAGTGTCTTTACCTGGGGTGGGGGGGAAAGGATCTACCTAACTTTTCAGGACTGTGGGGAGGATTAGTAAAAACAACAAATATAAAGCAGCAGATATTTACTGTTACAATTAACAGGCATCAAAGAAGCTGTGGACAGGGAGTGTTGCCTGCCTTTCCAGTTCTGCAAGATCAAGCCATCAGCCACTGCAGTCGCCTACAATGGTGCGCCCTGAGGGGAATTCAGGATGGAGAAAAACAGGGAGCATCCTGTTCTTTGGATACTGGCCCTAAACAGTTAAGATGCATGTCTAAGGAATAATTTCAATGAACCCAGATCCTTGCACCTTCCCATGCATAGAAAAGCACGAAAATCACCAACCTCAGATGTCTGCTCTTTGTGATTAGCAGTGATCTTTTGATGTTTGACTACATGGTTTTTTCCAGCCAAAAACTCCTATATTTCCTGGCTCCTCCCTTACCTCTTCCGGGCAGTTCCTCAGAGCTACCAGAGAGGCTGTCTCCCGGGCTATAGTCCTCAGCAAGGTCCCCAAATAAAACTTAACTCTCAACTTTTAGGTTGTCCGTAAATGCCCACACCCAGCAATTTTCTCTGAATCTAAGGTATAGAGTATATTGCATATTTTAGTCTGATTCTCTGTTCTGAACTTTTATAAATGAGTGATTCTCAACTTAGTCGGGGGGGGGCAGTATTGGTGGTAAATGGCTAGAATAAGATGTTAAAGTGATGAAAACATGCTTTGCGTATGAAGGCAGAAAAAAGGCTGGGGGAAAAAAAAAGCAACTGACCTCGAGCATCTACCTGTTTATTCTGTTTATAAGGATACATACAGGGTTTGAAGCAAAACAGATTTAGTTAATCAAGTTGAAAATATAAAAGATACGGCAATGTAAAAAAAAATTTCAGAAGCACAATTTCTGTCTACGGCTCCTTTACTGTGCCACATTATACACAGACCAGTCTCCACACTGAAGTCAATATAAGAATATGCAGAGGTTCTTTCCTTAGGCGGAACCTGGAGTTTTTCTCTCCCTCTGTCATGTGCTTCATTACTTAACAACCAATAGACACAGAAAAACCGATATTAGATACCTTATGTTTTTGGAGCATAAGATACAATCGTTCAATGGTATCCACAGGGGATTGGTTCCTGGACCCTCCACACAGACCAAAATCCTTGGATGCTCAAGCCCCTTATATAAAATGGAGCACTACTGGCACATGACCTACACACATCCTCCCTTGTACTTTACATCGTATCTAGATTATTTATAATATCTAATACAATGTAAATGCTATGTAAATAGTTGTCAGCATGCAGCAAATTCAAGTTTTACTTTTTGGAACTTTCTGGGAATTTTTTTTTCCCCCAATATTTTTGATCCACAGTTGGTTGAATTTGCGAATGCAGAACCTGCGGATATGCAGGGCCGACTATAACTAATAACAGGACACAAATAGACATGACTTAGGAAAACTCAAGTAAAATTTAATAATTCAAGTGAGCCATCTGCATAGGTAGAATCATTATTGCCCTGGAAAGAACTATGAGGTTGAACCATATAAAACTGTAGTTTTTATAGGTCACAATGGTTAAATCTGAGAAATTACCTTTTTAAACATATCATTAGAATAAGAGTCTTCCAATTACTCAAATGTCCTTATAGGACCATTTTAAAGGAATAAATGGTCTAATAAGGAAAGGTAGAAAAGCTAGAAGCCCCCTGGACAAGAAATGGTATCAGACAATCCAGTAAACAGAAAAACCACTGAGACAGAGACCTGTATGATCTTGTGTTTACCCTAAATGAAAAGCACAATTACTTAAAAAGCCACAAATTTATAGGGATCTAATGGTTTCTATTTTGTTGCTTTATTGCTCTTGTAGTATCAAAACTCTTACCGTATGGTGAGTTCCAATATTTGAGCAAGTCTGTCATGAAGGAAATTTGCCTACAAAGGAGAAAAAAAAAAAATGTTAAGAATGGATCTATCATTTTCCAAATACCCATATGTAATAATACAAGTGTGATTTAAAGGACAAAGCATAACTCTAACTATTAAACTGATGGTATAGAATGCTTTAATGTTTTGGTTTTATCTGTCTCATAGACTGGAATTTAATGTAAAGTTTCTTTTATTCCGTTCCTAGTCTCACTGGTAAAAACAAAATCAATAGCCACACAAAATACCTACAGCAAAATCATTGAAAACCACTGCAAAAACACTTTCAAAGCAATAACAATCGTTAACATTTAATTTGGGATCTGCCATTCCCATCAGCTGACATTACACAAAAAAATTATTTAGGCTTCACAGCTATGTCTTCAGCTTTCAGTCCCTATCAAATCCACTACCTCGTGGATTCTGTTGATCTGCCTGAAGCCTGGAATCTACCTACCAATTACCAGGACAGCGTCCACGAAGTCAAAGTCCACCCCCCGCCCCCTTCACCATGTGTTCACTTACTTTGGATTCACACTGTGCTGCTATTTCTTCAAAAGGTGCTTTCTGGAATTTCTCTATCACTAGACGTCTCTTTTCCTTTTCCTGTTCTTCCATTCCACTGGTATCTATATAAATGTTTAAAAAGACCCATTAAAAGGAATACAAAAATTTCATAGAACCTTGCCAATGACCATAAGAGCAAATGATCTATAAATAAAAAATAAGGGTGATTTATAGGACTACTTGTATAGGGAAAAAAGCAAAAGGTGTGACATCCTTGAAGTGTCTTAGTGAAGGCTAGAAAGCCCAGATGTAAAAAAATTTAAAAACTACACAGCACAAAACCCTTTCTCATAAGACTACCTTTGTCTCTCTTACCAAATAAAAGCAGACGCATGACAACTTCCTACAAGTTCAACAACTTCAAGGCCCTTCCTGAAGGATGATTCTTTTATTAATAATCATGCCCTTGCACATATGAGGTACTAAATTAAAAGTCTGCTAAACTTGATAGTGAATGGTGTGATTGAAATATAGATAGGGTCATGCGGAACCATATTGTTTTAGCCTTTTCCATTTATCTTCCACGATTTGAAAAGGGATTTTTTTAACTCTTAAGATGACGTGTGGTCTGGCCAAAGTTTGTGAGATAATAAAATAATAAATGTCTGTCATTTTGATACATATATTAACTATGTCTATTTGCTTAAGAATCTGAAAAGAAGGCTAATTAATGGCTTATTTATTGATGGTCTACAGTAACAACTCAGTAACTCTTCAGCTTTTTTATTTTTCCTGGTCAAGAATTTCATAAGATGAAACACAATCTGTTCAAGGTTCTTCAAAAACAAAGCTTCTCTTCAGGTAGACAAACTGTAACAATTAGCTAGTTTTAAAAAATGGATATATCAGGTACAAACGAAATAGGTTTATTTTCCCCCCTCTGAAATTGTGGCAGGTTAACAAAGTTGTCGAATTTATGTACTTTTTCTGAATGACTATAATACAGAATTATGATCACATCTCTCGTGTTCACTAGATTAGGGTCACAAGCTCAAATGTGCCAGAGGCTAGGCAGGAAACATAAATGTTTTAAAAGCAGTAAGAAAAACAGGACTTGGGCAAGATGAGTGTACATCCCTGGTCTTTATTCAAATCCAATTGCTGAAAATAATACTTCTACCTAAATTTGGCCTGCAGGCAGCAAGTTTCTTTTCCATGCATTAGTCCAGTAGTTCTCAAACTTTTTGTTTCAAGACTCCTTTATACTCTGAAAAATTATTAAGAAAGCCAAATTGCTTTCTTTATGTATTACATCATTTGATATTTTCCATATTACAATATAAAAATGAGAGACTTAAAAAATATTCATTAAATGCATTAAAGAAATGAAACCACTATATGTTAACATAAATAATTGTTTCATGAAAAAATAACATTTTCTAAAATGAAAAGATTTAGTGAAGAGAATGGCATTGTTTTCTATTTTTGCAAATCTCTTTAATGTCTGACTTAATAGAAGCAGTTGGATTCTACCTGCAGATGCATTCAATCCACTGCAATATGTTATTTTGGTTGAAGTATATAAAGAAAAACTAAACTCACACAGGTATGGACTGGGAAAGAGTAATTCAATAAATAGCCTTTTCACAGAATTGTAGCTATTTCTTCTTGGACACTACAACAAAACATGACAAACTGTAGTTTCTTCAAAGTTAGTTGCAATATGGAATTTGAAACCTTATTAATGAACTTTTTGTAATTGGTTATATTAACATCTATTGGTCTCTTCTACAGTTTGAATAGAGCTTTACTCATGTATGGTTTTGTAACATCATGCAAGGTCATTTGGAATATTGCTCCACTGATTTATGCAGACCCTCTAAATGTAGACATATTTCACTGTAAAATACTCTTTAAATTCACATTTGTTAGTTATTATCACTGATCTCATTAGAAAAGTCTTTAAATAAATATTGGGGAACTGTCAAACTTGCACCAGCAGACATAAGCTTCAAAACTCTAATTTTGTTAAAAAGTGCTAATTTTATCACTGGGAGCAAATAATGTCAGGGTGGTTTTTTTCTCTTGAAGTGACAGCTTCCCTTCAAATACCACAGGTTTTCTTTTTTTTTTTTAAAGTAAAAGTGACGTTCCTTAAAAAAACCAACTAGTTCTGCTTGCAAATAAAAGCAATCAAAGAAGTGCTTTATATGTGCTCCCCAAAGGCATGTATTCATGGGATGAGATTAATAAAATTAATCATTTATACTGATTCTTCAAAGGCATTCTTAAGAGAAATCTTGCCTTTTAAAAATAACGGGTGGGCTTCCCTGGTGTCGCAGTGGTTGAGAGAGTCCGCCTGCCGATGCAGGGGACAAGGGTTCGTGCCCCGGTCCGGGAAGATCACACATGCCGCGGAGCGGCTGGGCCCAGTGAGCCACGGCTGCTGAGCCTGCGCGTCCGGAGCCTGTGCTCCGCAATGGGAGGGGCCACAACAGTGAGAGGCTCGCGTACCATACATACATACATACATACATACATACATACATACATACATACATACATAAATAACTGGGGATGTGTGGTGCTGAAGAATTCAATGACCATTAGTACAGTCTGACGCCACTGCCTTCATTCATGTTAATCCATGCAGGAAAAAGGCAAGTAATGTCTTGGTATTGTGCTGCATATACTTTTTGACTTGAAGGATCCCTTGGAAGAGTCTTCCCCAAAGCTCCAGGGGTCCAAAGACATACTTTGAGAACCATTGCCAGACTGTAAGTACCTCAACATGTCTTATTAATTTTTAAATGTCTCACAGTATCTTGTACACAATGGGTGTTCAAAAATTGCTTATTAAATTCAATTAATTTTATTTTGGCAAATTTGATATTACAATAAGAAAAAAAATCCTCTAATGGATTAAGCTGAAAAAGGTCAGATTTTATTTCATGTATGATGGGTACCCTTGTTAATGATTTTCTTATTCTAATATTTCTTAAAAATTGAGAGCCAATTTCCACTCTCTATCGTGAAAGTCAATTTCCACCCTCTATTGCTTTACCAATTAGAAATGAATTGAGATCGAGGCATCATGAGCTTAGCAGGAATTTATATTAATACTTAATTGAAGGAATCATTTAAAAATTTTTAAAAGAGGCAAATTATGTAAGGTAAAATTTATTTCCATAAAGGCTACAGGACAAAAAAAAATCAGAGTACTATTTTATGCAAACATAAGTGAAAAGATTAGAGTCAGTCAGACCTGGGTATGAAATTTGTCTCCAGTATTTACTAGCTCTGTGATCTCACGAGAGTTGCTAATTTCTCTGCCTCAGTGTTCTCACTGATAAAATACCAAGGATTAATGTGACGACTGTGCCTGCTGACAATTTCAGCCAGCTCCTTTCTCTTACCCCATTAGAAACACGCTTCTAATTACACTGCTATATGCCTACTAAAAGTCATTCTATGTAATTCTCTCAGAATTATTCACCTGCCCATCTCCTATAAAAGGAAATACATTCACTATTTCTCATAAATTCACTCAGCCTCAATGTTGGCCACCAAATAAGGGAAGAATTCAAATACATGGTGATATGCTTTCATAATTCTAGAAAAGTCAGTCTACAGAGAGGAAAATAATTATGACAAGACAGGACAATTACAAAAGTCTGAAGAACATAAGCTAATAAATTGATTATATATTTATATAGAAATCGACAGTATATACACTTGCCATGCTGCCTCTGTTAATTCTGGCATTTAGACAAGTACTAAGATATAGATAAGCTAGAAAACACTAGGAGAGTTAACAAGCAAAATCTCACCAATTGCTTTCTTTAACGCCTCAAAGGTGATTTCTTCAGTGTTACTAACCTAGAGAAAAGTGATTTTAAGTAAAATAAAGAGTTAGGAACGGTCAATATAAATGATATCTGCACCTAGTTACAAGTAACCTAAGAACTTTGACAAATATTTTCTTTTCTTTGTGTTGGCTGGATTTGTGATCACACTCAACAGTATCAAGTAATCTCCATGTTTTCACTGGTTTTAACAATGGCCAACCACAGTGGTTCCCCAAAGAAGTCTACAGATTGATGTTAGGCTGGAAGAATTAGCAACCTTTAAGGCAACCCAACCAATATTCAAGGCAGAGATTATATATAAATGAAGCTTTAGCTACGTAATAAATGAAAACTAAGTATTCTATACTCTTTATAATTTTGGTACCACATACAGGTTAAAAATCAAAAATGAAATAATCTAAAACTTTAAATGCAAAAATTTTAAAGCAAAAAATCACTACTTTGGGAAGTGTTCAATGAGTGCAGTTAACCAACATTTAAAAGTAATTATATTCTGGACCTCTTAAGGTCAACCACCAAGTCTTATTCTCCAGAAACTCCCTTTAACTTGAAGTTTTCAAATCTCGCTTGCTTTGAGACATGTAAAAGGTGTGAAATCAAGTGCTTACATAAAAAGTCAGTAATACTTTTTGTGGCACTAGCACACTTTCAGAAGGAATAATATATCCAGTTACTATAGTATCTCTGAATAAAAGTTAAGAAGTGATATATGAGTACTTGCCTTGGACTCTGGTCATCCCTAATTTTAGCTCATGAGCTTCTTTTTGCTAAGCCTAAGGCAGCAAGACTAGTGAAAGCAAAGGACTTCATGCTTTGCATCTTAGCTCTCTGTACAAAGAATTTAGCTGGAAATCAAAGCAGCAAGAGTTCCACTACCTCAGTTTTTCTACTGAGGGCTCATATTTCTAGTTGAAGTCAGATTAAACTTGGGAATCTTCAGTTGCTTTGGTCTAGATATTTGGAGCAGATATATAAGATTAGGCTCTGGCTGGTCAATTATTTGTACCTAGAAGCAATCCAGTACTTCAAAGTTGTTCTTACAACTGGTTAAGAGCTTTAGACTTTTGAGAAACAACTACAGTATAGGAGAAAGAACGTAGGAGAAGCTAGAAGGCCAGAATTCTTATTATGGAGAATTTTTACTTATTACCTGTTCAATCCTGGATAAGTGAAAAGCTAGAGTACTTTATCTAATAACTCTTCCCTGTTTGTTGTTTTCCTTAATTTGGACAATGATGATGCATTCGCCCAGCATCAAAGAATCATGCCTATGGTGCTTTATTCTATCAGTCAAGCTGATGATTTAATTTCAGGAGGCAGAGATGCCACTGAAATAAATAAATGTTTTAGCCATTTATCTTCTTGAATACCTGAATTTAATTTAGGTATCTTTATACATATATAGTGCAATTTTTAGGAGAAGTTCACTAAATGATTCATGGTGGGCTAAAATTTGAATTACAAATGTTAGAACTCACATACCTCAGAAATGGACCAGGTATTTTAATAGACCATAGTAATAAGCTGAGTTATATCCAGGGAAGACAAAAGTTTTCCTATGATCTCCATCTAAACAACATGACAAGCTCTAAAAGCAGGTATCAAATATACTTGAGGACTAAGTGGGATTATGTATATACAATTTCAAGTAATTTTGATGAAATTACGAGCAATTTTTCAAATGAGCAATTTTTAAATTTGATTCATTGTTAGCAAATATACTTATTCTTAGTTTGATATTTTGTTACACCACTAACTGGTGAATACCTAACTGATGACACTTCCTCCTGTCCACACGATGAAATTAGTTAGTTTTAGCCTAGAAGGTACTGTTATTCTGTCTTCTGGTGTTTCAACGACCATTCCTAATACACAATATCAGATACCATAATGGTAAATGAGTTTGAAACTCTAGTGTGCTCAAGTAAATCTTATATACTAAACTGTATTTAACTTTTCAAATACTCAGGGTGAGGCATATTTGACTTAGGATTTATAGTTATAGCAAAGATAAAACAAAAGGATCTTTAATAAGTTAACAAATGTATTAATGAACTTTTCATGTAAAATTCATGCTCAAGAGTCTTCCTCCTATACTGTCTTCATGCAAATGTTTCTTCAGTTCATTTTATCAAAATAGACTGATTCTTTGCAACCTTTTAAAGTGCTATATATGTATTTTTAAAAGAAATAAAAATGGTTAACAAAAGGCAAATGGGAAAAATACCAGTCAATAAAAAAGACTGCACTCTTGACAAGTATAAACTAAGGCTCTGGATGAATTTCTTCCCTCAAAAGGTAACAGCAGCAAATTCATAATCACTGAAAGATATAGCTAGCAAGATATCCTTCTTGCTAGTAAGGAGTGTAAAAATTAAAATGGCTTTGAAGAGGTGAAATTTAGGGAAGATGATTTTTCCTGAGTCTTAAACTGGTAAGAAACTCTAAACCAACCTTAAAGCCTCAAGTTCCAAAATGAACACTAACTGCCTATTCCAACTACTCTGATGCTCTGCAGATAATTCATTGATAAAACTGATTAATTTTACATAACAGGGAGTTAAAAGCATGAAAGATATAAATTAATTGGCTGTACCCTGGCCACCAAATAATTTTAATTCCTGAAGACAAATTAACTGACAGGGATTGGAAGCAGGAGGGAGAAAGGAGGCTGAGAAAGCATGAATTCAGACAACTTCCTTCCTCTTTTCTTACATGGATATTCTTTCAGTTATTTACATTGTACCAGTGAGAAATAATGAAATACCTAAGAAGGCAAACAATGGATAAACCACAAGGAGGAAGCTGACGTGACATGCTGGCACACTGGAATTTTTACTTGACTATCAAAAAATGCTCTGCTGATTTGTGTGGATAAGTCCTAGAGAACACTGGCTGCTTTTTCTTCCTATAACTCAGTTGGGTACACTCTTGTGCTCTATTGAAACAGGAGGAGAACATTAAATCTATGATGTTTCAAATAACTCCTTAAAGAGTACACAGGTCACTGATACAGCTTAACCTATGTTAAATTCATTATATTTACTATCCAAAAAGATTAAAAAATTTCTCTCATAGGTGAAATTTTGAAACTTTCTAAAAGTAGTGAGCATTTGGCTTCACATGACAGTGTATAATTCCATTTATTCTCACAACTTATGTTGCATAAATCTTTAAAAATAAATAGGATTAGAGGGCCTACTTATTTAATAACAGGCCTTGTTTAGCATTTCTTACTTATTAAAAAAACATACTTAGTTCTGTCTTACGGTTCCTTTTACTACAATGTGAAATCTAGTGATATCATAACACACAATATTAAGTTTATGTATCTTTATAGGTATATGAAATGAGTTCAGTAAAATAAATTATAAGTAAGTTCAAGGCTAAATCAGATTAACTTCTACTAACAATTTTGTTGATTTAGGGATAAATAAGAGTTGTATTTGATCCTGTTTAAAAGTGTGGAGGGGCAAAAAGTTCTTTTAAATTGATGTCTATCTCAAGACAGTACTTCATCATAAACTTTCAGCAACTTACCACATCATCTGAAGGATTGCTGTTGGGTAAGATATCCACCTGAATGGATACGGTGTCCACAATACTTTTCCTTCTAGAAAGTCGATCTTCATCTAAAATTTAAAAAAATTTCCCCCATTATTTGCTAGTTAGAATGATATGTCATTTATAAACTACACCTATTTCAGATTTTAAAATTTCAGAAAATTAAGACAGTTTGCCTTTTTTGCTCTTACTAAATATATAAAACTGTGTGCTCTCAGACTTTTATATTTCATGAAGCAGATTAAAAAAATAAAATTGATGGGTGAACTCAGTTTAATACATCTGACCCTTGAACAACATGGAGGTTAGAGGTGCTGACACCGGCACAGTCGAAAATCAGCACAGCATTTTACAGTTGGCCCTCCACATCTCCAGTTCCACATCCAGTTCAAATTTCCCAATTCTCCATTAACCAATTCTATTCGACATGTTCTAAACCCAATTTTAACATGTCTAATAAACCTCCTTTATCTCCACAATGCCATATTTATTTTTCAAGAGTGCCATCATTCAAAAATCTTTATCTTTTCTTACCTAGATCTGAGGATTGCTTACTAACTGGTCTAATACAACACTCCCTCCTATACTACCAGTAGAGCTGTTCTAAAATAAATCTTTTTCACACTAAACTATAATTTTAAAATAAATCCAGGGACTCCCCTGGTGGCGCAGTGGTTGAGAATCCGCCTGCCAATGCAGGGGACACGGGGTCGAGCCCTGGTCCGGGAAGATCCCACATGCCCAGGCGCCACAACTACTGAGCCTGCGCTCTAGAGCCTGCGAGCCACAACTACTGAAGCTGCATACCTAGAGCCCATGCTCTGCAACCGCAATGAGAAGCCCGCGCACCACAACGAAGAATAGCCCCTGCTCGACATAACTAAAGAAAGCCCGCGTACAGCAATGAAGACCCAATGCAGCCAAAAATAAATAAATAAATTTATTTTTAAAAAAACAACAAAAAAACAAATACAGCCCACTGACTAATGCTGAGCTTCGCAAGTTTTTTCACATCAAAGCACATATATATAATTATAATACATGTAAGGCATATGGAGATAAAAGGAAGAGGCTGCTTGTACTGCAAGCTGTCTACCCCAGGCCCGACCCAGCTACCTGAAGAACTAAGGAGATAAATATCCAGACACACCTGTAAAGCTCCCAATAACAACTGGGAAGCTCAGGTCTAGAATCTTAGTCGAACAGCACAGTCAGTCACTTCATAATCTGGCAACACTCCATCTTCCTAATCTCATTTTGTATATAGAGTTGACTCTTAGACAACATGGGGGCTCGGGGCACTGACCCCTGCACAGTCAAAAATCTGCATTATAACTTTAGTTGGCCCTCCATATTCACGGTTCTGCATTCACAGATTCAACCAACTGAAGATCATATAGTACTGCAGTAGGTATTTACTGAAAATTATTTGTGTATAAGTAGACCCGTGCAGTTCAAACCCGTGTTTTTCAAGGATCAGCTGTACTGTGATTTTATCCTTCTGAAGGGGTGAATAATGAACTAAAAGAAGGCCAACATAAAGAAACTAGCTTCTTTCTTACTGACTACTCCTCTACTCCAAGGTAGCCTTCCATGGCAGTAATTAATGCTGTTGATCAAATACGGCAATTTACTCTCTTTCTGGGACATAGTAGGATTGCAATTCCTGGCCTCTTTGTGGTCAGGAGGGACTGTGTAACTAGCTCTGGCCAGTAAAGTATGAGTAACATTTCAGATCGCGGCGATCCCGTCAGCTTGGATTCCAGAATACGGATGACGTGAAGTTATGCACAGTTAGTTGGAGCGATGAGCACGTCTTCACTGGTTTAAACTACTAAGAACCTGTGACTGTTCTCACAGCACAACTTAGCCAGGGTTTCCTAGCCTTGGCACTAGTGGCATTTGGGCCCAGGCAATTCTTGCCGAGGGGACTGTCCTGTGCCTCACCGGATGTTCGGCAGCATCCCTGACCTCTACCCACCGGATGCCAGCAGGCCTGCCCCAGTGGTGATAACTAACTAGGGTTGACAAATGTTCCGTGGGATGGGCAAAATCACCCACAGTTGAGAACCACTGACCCCGTCTATCCTGACTGATAACAGACCTTTCTAGAATTTTCCCTCTATGCCACCATGAGCTTCTTAAACACTAACCACATCACTCTTCCAAGCAACTCTACCCATTGCTTAATGAAGTAAAAAGGCATCTGGGTTCTCCAGTCAGATCCTGCCAACAGTAACTTCAGAGCTGCTCCCTTATTTATCTCGTGTTTAAGGCAAATGTGCCTATTCTCCAACCTCTGAGCAGGCTTTGGCACATCTGCCTTACACACTTTTCTACAAACAGAAACTCCTGCTGGAAGCCCATGATTACCTGCCCTTTCTTACGTCCTCCCCACTGTAAAGATTCTTATCTTTCAAGCCCTGGTTAAACATTACATCGCTTCCTTTAAATCTTAAATATCACTCTAATTATTTTTACTTATCCCCCTTTCTTCTAGCTACAGAAATTTACTTTCAGTTATGACTGATCTTTCCTTGTCACTCTTCAATCATCATCACCCTTTACTCATCTAGTGGGCCTTGAAGTACAGACATATGGATTAATGTCTCATGTCCCCCCGTATACAAGAAATTCAGGGGCAGACTCTGCGTCTGCATCTAGCACACACTAGTTACTCAGGTTCTGCTGGGTGAAAGCTGGAGGAACACAGACCTATATCTGTGACAAGTTATTACCTATCGTTTTTCTACAGTTTTCAGGCTGGAAATATTATATCTCCTGCATAGGGCCATTACGGAGGTAGCCTAGATACTGAACTTTTTCTACTTTTCCTTCATGATCATTTGCACTAATATAAATCACCAAAGCTAACGACCAAACATCAGTGGAACTGCCACAAAATAGTATGTCGTCATCACTGCTGACCTGCTTTTTTACCCTCTAATCACACCAACTTTCAATGTCTTACCAGAATTCAAAATGAGGAATAAATAACAGCCTGCTTCCCACCCACACAAGATTTTCTAGGTTAATATACAAAGGCTGATGGGCTGCAGAGAAAAGTCAAACTGAAGCCTAAGACAAAAATAAAAAGGAAAGGAGAAGTACAGAGGCAGGAGAGGGATTACTGAGTGACAAAAATCAACAACAACAGAAGGGAAGTATAATGAGCAGAGATTAGGGAAGAAAATGAAATTCAGTGGGAAACTCTAATACTATATTCTCAGAAAGTTCTTTCTTTTGACCTATAGAGCAACCTGCTTGTAGGTGACAGAAAAAGCCCAGATACAACTATCATCAGATATCTTGTACATCTACACAAAAGTAAGCTTTCCAAAATAGAGCTTACCAAAGATAACTCTCCTGTTTCCATGGGCCGTCCACATCGGTTCCTGACCTGCCTTTCAAAGTCTGCTGAAATGCAGCATCACTGCAGCCTCTGTGGACCGCACTGTCCTGCCAGTTCGAGAACTACCCTGTCACCATCTCAGTGTCTGATGTACGCACCCCCTCGGGAGGCCCTTGCTTCCCTTCCTGAAGTTGGTTTGGGGTAGTCCCAGACACTACTTTCTATGCCCTTTCATTTTCCCATCCCTTCTCCTTCTCCGCTTCCTATAATCTGCCGTTCACAATGGTAATCACTGTTTCTTCTTTTTGTTTTTAATTAGAACCTGGGTTTTAGAAGTAATGCTTAGAGAGAGCGAGGCCTAACGTCCTTCAGCGATATTTTGCTGCCACCTGGTGTATCTGTGTGTAATGTATATAACTGCAATCAGATGGCTAAAGAACAGAGAAAACAGTCTGAATACAAGTATAACACAGAACTACATTAAATTATTCAATATAATTTTCTATGGCTATATAAAAACTAAGATGTAGGAACTTACTTAACTGTATATAATAAATCATAAATGTAATTAGGGCTATTATACCATTCAGATTCAATGAAAAAGCTAACTGGGGGAAAATGAAATTTCACAGATAATTTATCTACACGAAATTTAAAATGTCAGTTTAATGCTGATACTACTTATACAGATATACTTTTTTGGTCTTATAGAAAAACACAAAATTCCATCTAGAGCTAATGCATATTTATAAAATAAAAAGAACCTAAAAAACCATTGTCACCATGAATACAAAGTCAGTGTAGGGCTTCCCTGGTGGCACAGTGGTTTGGAGTCCGCCTGCCGATGCAGGGGACGCGGGATCGTGCCCTGGTCCAGGAGGATCCCACATGCCGTGGAGTGGCTGGGCCCAGGGGCCATGGCCGCTGAGCCTGCGCGTCCGGAGCCTGTGCCCCGCAACGGGAGAGGCCACAGCAGTGAGAGGCCCGCGTACCGCAAAAAAAAAAAAAAGTCATCTTCCGTGTTTTGTGGTCCAGATGAGGAACCCATTAGGAATGACTATAAGTTTTGTGAAAGCAGAAACCTCTGTCTTGTTCATTTTTGCTTCTGTTTGCACAGCAGCTGGCACACTGCAAATACTCATTAAGTACTGTACCCCCTCATAGAGGAGCATTTAGCATACACCTAGACATATGCTATTAACTCAAATTACAGGTTGATTTGAGATAAAAGGAAAATGCAATACTCAGCTAACATTTATTGAACACTTACTATATGTCAGTCACCAACAGTTCAGTAAGCTTTAGGCAGACCATTCTTCTTTCTTTAGAACCAGTTACCATTATATTTCAATCGTTTGTCTGTCTTCTCCACCACATTTTTTTTTTTTTTGCGGTACGCGGGCCTCTCACTGTTGTGGCCTCTCCCGTTGCGGAGCACAGGCTCTGGACACGCAGGCTCAGCGGCCATGGCTCACGGGCCCAGCCGCTCCGCGGCATGTGGGATCTTCCAGGACCAGGGCACGAACCCACGTCCCCTGCATCGGCAGGCGGACTCAACCACTGCGCCACCAGGGAAGCCCTCTCCACCAGATTTTAATCCTTGAGGATAGGGACTGAATCTTAACATCTTTCCACCCCCCAAAGTCAGAAAAGTGCTTGATATATATAGTAGACTCTCAGTAAAGGTTTGTGGAATACATAAAAAAATAAACCTGGATCAATATGGATGACTGAACAATCTTTGAGCACACAGTTGGCAAAAATCAATTTATTAAGCACCTAACTGAACAGGCAAGGCAGTTAATTCTAGTGGTCTTACCTAACCAAATTATTAATTTCAGTCTCACTATCCTCATTTGTAAACAAAGACAGTGCTACCTTCCTCACCAAACTATGTTACAGATTAACTGAGAACATGAATACAAAGTGCTTACCACAGTGACTGGCATACAGTTAGTGCATAATAAACGGCAGCTATATTTTGATGATGATGGGTGTATATGCATGATACACAACAAACTATTTTGTTTTTTTTCTTTTGATGTATTGTTCTTAAATCCCTTATTTTTAAAAATGAATACCTGATGGTTATACAGCAAAAAGAAACTTTAATAACTGATTGATTATCCCATAAAGTATCACTGTATCTTCTGACTCTTTCTGCATTAAGGCAGGACACACATGCCACGGACTGGTTCTAAACTATCAAAATCTTTATAAATCAGAAAAACCTTATTTATACTGAGGGATTTCTGTGCAGTTATATAACTAAGTATATGCTGAAATACTCAGAATTCTCCTAGTCAATGATAGGGAGGCATTAAGAAAGAGAATATATCATTTTCAGGGGTGGGAGGAAATGGGAAGAGCAAACCACTTGTTAAAGAAAGTACCATAATTTTCATTAAAAATTGTTTACAGTTAAAGGAATAGGGTAAAAGGAAATAACAAGGGGTGAAAATAAACTACAGCTATGGGGAAGGTAGAGCAAAATAATAACTGAGCTCACAACTATATAAAATATACAGGCCACTGGCTCCATTTTCTAGAAGGCAAACTGTATTAAGCTATTTTCCTAGAGGACAGGTGAGGGAAAGGGTAAGCCAAACTGACACTTGGATTTACCTTTGTACTTGTGCCTGGGTTTATAAGGTTTTTTGCCTGAAGGAAAGAGAGCTAAATCCAAGTTATAAGAATGAAATAGTTTAAAAGTCTGTTTTAAAAATTCTTTTAAATTACAAAGCTCTACTCATGTTTTATTCTTAGCACTTTTATTTCCCCAAGGAACTCATGAGGAATAGAATTTTCTATACTATGGAATTTAAAAGAAAATGCAAAATCTTTCATTAACATCTCAGACTATTATAAACAACTATCATTGTAATAAATGTATATATTTTGGATCCACATTATAAAAAGATAGCTATTCCCAAAGATTGTGTTACTTCTAGTGATTAATCCAGAAAACTACCCAACTGAAATCAAACAGTTCTCTTATAGAACAGAGGTATCCCCAAAGGAAGAACTAGTTTTTCTACCAAATTTAATATTTATACAGTCATCAAATGAAAGTGAAGGTATAAGATAAAAATTCTTTGATTTTAGTTTTCAAAGTAAAAACTGAGTGCAAGACACCATGCAGTTTTGCCTTGAAACAAAACAGAATTATCTCAGGCAATGAAAAGAACAGAAGGAAATACATAATGCACAGAGGGAAACATATTCTTAACTTAAAAAGTTTGCAGATTTCTTTACATAGCAAATAGTCTGTAGTCTTTCAAATGACAAAAATTACCTAATTCATTAATGTCAATAGTCACAAATCACCAACTAAACAATTTTCACCAATTTCCCTAAGTTAAACACAATATTGCTTAAAGAGTAAAGATCTCACTTTGCTTCTCTGTTTAAAGGATATTATTATTCAGTATAGTATCAATAATATATGAAGTATAATAACGATAATCACTTGAGGACTCAATATGCTCATGATAAAATTATATACATGTTTTTAGAGATTTACTAAAGGTTTTCAAGAGCAAAATTTTAAAATAGAAGTAAACTCTCTTAAGCTAGTAAGTATACAAACATAATTAACTTTCTAACTGGGCTAAGAGAAAAATTGCTGACACATAATCACTAGAGCAAGAGTTCTAATTACCTTCCTCTTACCTGTTACTTGTGGTACGTACGGTACTGACAATCTCTCAACACTATAGCCACTGCCACCTAGTGACTCTGCAATCTTGTTGGTCAAAAAGTACAAATTTTTGTCATGCTTCTCTAAAGATTTTGGAAGCCTGTCAAGTTGATCAAAAAAGAAGTCATTTAGTATTATTTAAATTACTGAGCAAAAATAAGTTAACATATAAATATTTTAGATCAAGGCCTAAATATAAATATAAATGCAACTTAAACTGTAATTAGTAATAGAAAAATCAGTGTATTTTAGGTGGCTGATTTGAGCTCTTTAAAAACATATGGTTATGTGGACCCACACATGAAGCATTCTGCTGCTTCTTTCCCCAGTAATGTCCCAACGGTGAAGTCAGCCTTACATGATTCCACTGGTATTCACACATTAAATGATGAAGAGGACTAAATTCAGCTTTAACTTTCATGCTAATTAAAAATCTACTGAGAGAAGAAAATAAAAATGAAGCCCCCTGACTGTTAATGAAGAAGATATTAGCCAACTAAGTGATAGGAAGCACCTGGCTAAGACCTACGATTTCAATTTCCTTTCAAACTGCTTAATATTATCTTATGCGCATGCTTTCAATATTAAACTGGTTTTAGAGCCCAAAAGTTTGAATAAACTATTTTTCATATGTATTTTTTTGTTTGGACAGCAAGAAAAAAATTCAGGGTATAACACTGATTTTCCGTAATACACTGTTTCTCCTACAGCTTTATTAATATTGTTGTCTATTACTGAGAATCTTGAACAGGATATTGTATTCTCTTAAAGGAGTGTTCACTTATATATCAGAACATGCTATATTTAAGAGATATACTTCCATATTAAAAAAAGGTAAGATAAACTTTTTCATCAAAGATTGATTCCATGTGTTCATGAGTCTACATTTATACTTTACAAGAACTTTTACAGCAAGAGAAACAAGTTAGATGAATTAAATGACAGAAACATAAAACGATGAATATTTTAAAACACCAGAAAATTATTCTAACAGTAGTTTACTCCTTTGTAATTATCACTGATTGGTTTCCCAAGTCAGTGCCCCTCCTTAAAATGTAAAGAATTAACATACATGCACTTATCTCTGAAAATATGCTCTGGTAGAAAATAAGGGGCTTCCATAGTTCGAATTTCAATAACCTGAAAAATATTCAAAAACAAAACAAAATAAAAATCAAAAACCTCACTCCTCAGGACCCTGCCACAAAAGTTTGGAAAACTAAAAATACAGAAACAGAATCTAAACATTTATACGAAATACCATCATTTTACTTTGGAATTTAAGCTACATTTAGAGCCCAAAAGCAGAGTTCATTTTGTTTTCACATTTATTATTTAAAAAAGTCAGCAGGTAACAACATCATGATAGTAAAATAATACAGGTTGTAAAAAAAAAAAAAAAAAAAAAGAGGATACATTACATTTGATTAAACCTACTACAGAGGGATTAGAAGCTGTACTTTCTCAAATGCCCTATGTGGGAAATGCCTTCACAAGCGCCAGGCCCTCGCTGTCCTCTCTCCTCTGCACCACCTTCTGCAGCACGTGCAGGTGGTCTCAGCGCTCTTGTGAAGTCTGGCTCCTCCACTCACCTGGGAGCCACTTAAAGGGGGACCCTGCTTTCATAGCATTTGTATCTCTAATGGCAGATGTCAAATATTCACTCAAACATTTGTTTAATGAATGAATGAGTTTTACTTCTTAGAATGTTCTAAAATCCTACATTTTAGCAAGGACTGAGAGATGTGCTTCCAATTTCATAAAAATGAGGTTCTCCCTGAAAGATGTTTTTAAAGAATAAAAACTACAGTGGACTTTTTCTGCCAGGTAAGTTAGGAGCTCTGAAATGTATACTAAATCATGCCAGTAACTATTTAATGAGTCACTGCTGAGAAAGCTAAATACAGTTGAATGACACAGGACAAATCTCTGAGAGGCATATCAATTATCCAACTTTTGAGATCTAACTCAAGTAGATTCCTTTAAAACAATAACAACAAAAACAGTATAATTAAAGAAATATTAGATACTAAGATTCATAGTGGTTTAAAAGGAAAACAATTATATAAGAAATCACATGAAGTATTTTAGAAGAAAATCATATATTCTACTCAACCATTACACAGAAAAATTCTAATACAACAACAGGCATCAAAGAAAACATAACACTAGTCATAGTTAGAGCTGTAGTGTCGATTTTGTCACTATTGAAAAAGTCATGCATACTTTTATAGCATTATCTTAATAATTTGGTACATAATCATCAAAATTAAAAATAATCATCACTGGAAGAAAATCCGCCACTTTTGTATAAAAATCAAATTCGAGGGCTTTTCTAAATACATTACCTTGCTAACATGCTGGCAAAACGCAGGGACAGCTATCATCTGACTTACAAAGTTAAGGTATGCAGCAACCAGCGCCATGATTCCACAACGATGGAACATTGACAAATTATCCTCATTGATAATTGCACTGTCCTTTAATAAAAAACCAAAACACAAACACTGACAGATCAAGGTCTTACGCTTCAATAGCATTTTCTCTACGATTATACTAAAAAACTGCAGGTAGTCTGGAATGCTAACAAAAATGTCCCCTTATAAGAAGCTTTTTTAAAAAAAAATTCTAAAAAGAGAATAAATGCCCATTTATAAGAGATTTAAATCTCTCAATTCAAACAGTTCTTTAGGAAAGCCTTTCCTAAAGGAAACGTGGGCGTGGGCAGAATATATATAAGATATATAAAAATAAATATATATATTCTCGTTGCATACTGTCCTGTGATTGCGTAACACTTAAACTCCAATTAAACAACTACATATATGTAATTCTTATTATTTAACGACCATCTTCCCCGCTAGGATGGGCACAGGGACCATGCTGTCTTTTTCATCACAGTACTCCTGTGGCCTTGAACAACAGTTAGCACACAGTCAATACTTACTCAACATTTGTTAAAAGAATAAATGAATGGGATCATAGCCTTGAGTATTTTAGATTTAAAACGAGACATCTCACTTAAAAAACTCATGTCCTTGGATAAAGGCAATAATATTTTAAAGATGGTGTCTAATTCATGAAAGAATCCTTTCTTCAAGGAAAGGTTACAAAAACATACCTGTAAAGCAATGGCTAATCGAATGAGATCAATAACCACTTCTTCATTGGCCAATTCAATAGTTATAAGGGCAAGAGAAGTATAAAGTAGCTCATAGTTTTTCTGAACATTGTCTTCCTCTTTACAGCCCAAATATATGTGCCGATATAGTTGCTGCCCATTCTGAAAAGGGGAATGACAGAGGAAAAAGATAATTTTGCTTAAAATGTAGCAAGGCAGATTTTACATGCATTTATAACCTCTTAAAACGTAGCTATCTTATTACATAACTCAACATGGAAGAGATTTAGGCTGATAATCGGAGGGTCAAATTATATTCCAATTATTAACATCAATAACTACACCAATATATAACTACAAACTAATATTGGAGTTGAGGACAAACTTAAGTAAAAACAGCAAGTAAGAAATAGTTCCAGTGTAAACAATGAAAATGTTTTTAATACTAATTTGAAAAGACAAGCAAATTATAGACTGATTTGAGAAAAACTGAAACGAACAGCAGAATTATGGGAGCTTTGGCAATGATAAGAACATTTGGCTGAGAGGAAATGGACTCAGGCTTTCCCGCCTTAGGGAACAACCTCCTGTGAGGTGAGCTGCTGTCCAGGGAAGAGCATCTCCAGGTTCTGCTACACTTTTGTCTGAAGTGACGACGGCACATCTATAAGCCCACCTGTAGGGAAGAGGTTACAGACACACCCCAGGGACTGCGAGAGGGTCCCCTGTAAACCAAACTAATCTAAATATGTTAATAAAGAATATAAAAGCCTTGCTGTCTAAAGCATTCCTGGGTATAGGTCTAACTGCCAAGTGAGAGCTAACAGAAATAAGAGAGTTTTTCCCATTTCAAGTTACTATGTGGTAATTAACTCAACGTGTTGCACTAGTTCTCAACACAAACTGTAAGCTACAATCACTGGGAAATGGAAGGACCACCATGCTTCCTCCCCACTAGTCACCACTGCCCACCCCTGATATGATTTAACCTGTCAGTGGTGAAACCCAGGCATCGGTGTTTTTCAAGCATAAAGCTGCCCCGGTGACTGTAACGTGCAGCCAGGGTAAGGCCTGCTCATTCCCACGCGGAGGGGCTTGAGCTTAACACTCCAAGCTCAAGTTTCTGTTTCTCAGAAGGTTCATCTGCTTCCTCACTTCAGGAGAAAGAAATGAGCAACAGTAGCACAGTCTCTGGAAGCCAGCCTGTCTTTAAAGGTATGCATTTTGCTCTGTCCTCTATTTAACATGAACATGGACCCACCCAGGTGAGGGTGGCCATAGTCCTCCAGCTGTGCCAGTGACTGGTTAAATAAGTCTGTTCAGGTCTGTGGTTCAGTATTAGCAAGTGGGGGGTTTTTGGCTACAGATACAGAGCTATGTATGCTCTCCTAACAGATTTCTCTTTATTTCTGAAGCTGACATTTTGGTTTCCATCTTTCTGAACCCAGAGTTTGTCTCGCTCTCAAAAGATTCTATACTTTGGTGTATAACAGTCTATGTATTGGGCCCTCTCCAATCCCTTTCTTTCTCTTTTTTTTTTAAACATCTTTATTGGGGTATAATTGCTTTACAATGGTGTGTTAGTTTCTGGTTTATAACAAAGTGAATTAGTTATACATACACATATGTCCCCATATCTCTTCCCCCTTGTGTCTCCCTCCCTCCCACCCTCCCTATCCCACCCCTCTAGGTGGTCACAAAGCATCGAGCTGATCTCCCTGTGCTATGCAGCTGCTTCCCACTAGCTATCTACCTTACGTTTGGTAGTGTATATATATCCATGCCACTATCTCACTTTGTCCCAGCTTACCCTTCCCCCTCCCCGTATCCTCAAGTCCATTCTCTAGTAGGTCTGTGTCTTTATTCCCTTCTTGCCCCTAGGTTCTTCATGACCTCCAATCCTATTCTTAAATCTGACGTTCCTAAACGTCATTAATAACCATTAAGCAGTGCTTACACACATGGGAGTTTAAACTTCGGGTTCCTTAGTAATTCAAGTTTATTTTTTAAAAAATTACCTACTACATACCTACCATATTAGATAAAATTAAAACCTAACATTACGTATTATAATATTATAGTGAAAATAGACATAATGACTTCAAAAAGTGGTTTGGCATTGTGTAGCAAATTTGAAGAATGCATAACTTATTACTCAGCAATTTCTCTCCTACAGGCATCAGAGAAATGAGAGTTATATACAGCACAATACATGGACAAGAATGTTTATAGCCGTACTGCTCATAACAAACCCAAACTGCAAACAATTCATACGTCCACCAACAGAATAGGTAACTTGTGGTATATTCATGTCATAAAATATTATAAAGCTACACATGTGAATGAATTTCACCAAAACAAAGCTAAATGAAAGAAAGAAAACATAAAAGAATACATAAGGTATGGTTCCTTTCACACAAAATACAAAAACTGATAAAACGACACTGTACTGTTCAGGGATATACAGATATACTTAGGTGGCAAAACTACAGGGAAAAAAAGCAAGGAATAATATTCATGAAAGCAAGAACAGTGATTACCTCTTGGGGAGAAGATGGAGTTGTAAACAAGATGGGCATGTGGGATGATTTTAGCTGTACTGCTGTTCACTTAAAAGTAGTTAAAATAATAATGCCTATATATTTTACATTTCATAATAAGAAGTACATTTTTTTTTTTTTTTTTTTTTTTTTTCCTTCGGGGGCCTCTCACTGTTGTGGCCTCTCCCGTTGCAGATCACAGGCTCTGGACGCGCAGGCTCAGCGGCCATGGCTCACGGGCCCAGCCGCTCCACGGCATGTGGGATCTTCCCGGACGGGGGCACGAACCCGTGTCCCCTGCATCGGTAGGCGGACTCTCAACCACTGTGCCACCAGGGAAGCCCCAGAAGTACTTTTTTTCTACATAATCCTTAATTGATAAAACACTAACAAGAGCTCTTTCATACAGTGACATTCTGCCAGGAATTTAGCTCTAGGAGAGTAGCCCTGGCAGGTGAGGAAACAGCTGTTTGGAACAGCTGAGTGGAAACAGCTGTTTTCTCTTATCTGGAAATACACCTTCATTAGGATATTAGAGCTGAAAGGGCACCTCCCAATGTAATTTGTAAGGGCACCTTGCCCTGGGACAATTTTTCAAACTTAGATCCAATGTCTAAGATGTCCCTAAAACAGTCAGATGGAGCAGTTTTAGGCTGGGCAGGCATCTGAGACACAGGTGCCTGGACATAATGCTTGCATGGAAAAGCCAAAGGTACTGTCCATTCTAAACTGCAAGCTTCTCTTAACCAAAGGGCAGTCCACAGTCCCCTGGCTATAGATCTCAATTTTTTTTCTTCAGGTCTTCATTGAAATTTCCGTAAGTGGCTAGTTAAAGTTGCATATGAAAACCAAACAACATTTTTACTGATAAAATAAATTAGAAAGTAAATGAAAAAGGGTGTTCAATTGTAAAAATAAAATTTGATAAAGGAAAAATGTGAACAGATTGTTCCTAAAGAAAAATATACTAAAGAAATGGTTTATACTAATGGTAACAAATGCTTAGCCAGGTTAAGTTATCTTAAATTATAAAATGGAAGGAAGACTAATTCAGAGAACAGTTTAATGATTCAAAATTTAACAAGGAATAAATAAATAGTCTAACCTTTCAGTTAAACCATACTCTTGCAAATTGATTGGCTAGCAAAATTAAGCACAAAGGATTATTTCTATCATACTAGATAAAATAAAATCAATCCAGTCCCAAAGTTCAGGATTGCTTAATGTCATGATGTTAAAGTAAAAAAACCCCAAATTAACTATCAGTAAATTTTTAAAACTCATTCTATCACTCGATTAAAAGTTCCTCAGTTATGGGGCATAATTTCTTTGATTAACTAGATGATATAAAATATGGAAAAAATAGAAGTTGGAAAGAGTTAATGCCTTTGACCTATTATTATTAATCACTTTTTTCATACACAATACAGTCAAACTTAAAAGAACTCTTTTTATTCACATTAATTTAGGAAGAGTGATAGTTTGTAAATTATTTTTCAAATGAAGTTTTTAAACTGTGAGGCCATTAACTTGAAACACAGCAATCAATATTAACGGATAAGGACAAAAAAATAAAAGATGGTGACAGGAAGAAAGCGGGGTCTGACAAAGAGCCAAAGATGGTCAGGGATTATAGATATTTGTACCTATCTTCCTATAGGTCTGCTGTTCTCTGCACCTCTAAAGATCCAGGCTCACCAAAACTGTGATTTATCCACCAGAACTGTGATTATACTCAGGTCAGTTAGCACACATGGCATGCTTACTGTTTTATCTCTCCATGTTGAGCTTAGCGTCTGGCAATACTAGGTGCTCAAGCTTTCGATGAAGAATAACTGCACAGAAAGTTTATGTGATATACTAAAGAACTTTAGATGCCATAATTTTCTAAATTCAGCCATTTGCCAATACGCCTACAAAACTGAAGTGATCATAATGATAATCTAGCTAAATTCTAGTTATACAGGCAGAGATCCTGCCTACCTGACCTTTATACCCCAAATAATGCACAGAATAATGCCTAATACACACTAAATACTCATTATATGTATTTAATCAATGATGGTAAGTATTCTCAAAAGCTTGAAGCTGTCTATAAAGGACCCATTAAAAGCGAAAGCAACATTTGTGTTTGGGGTGGGGAGGAGGGCAGGGCAGCAATCACAAAGACACATTTTACTCAAAGGGAGAAATCTGGGAACTATCACAGCAGACTGACCACCCAAAACTTAAACGCAGGCCGGAGGAGACGCCATCAGGACGGTGGTGGCAATGTAGGGAGCTGAAGGTGGCTTCAGATTTTCAACTCCAAAATGCTATGGCTTCATTTTAAGGTTATCGATCAATATAAAACTACCTAAAAATTCAAATGGCTATAACTTAAGTCATGCATTCTTTTTCAGAAGATAATCTTACCTTTTTCATGAAACTTGTGTCTTGTCTACAAATCTTTTCTCTTTTTATTTTTAGGTCAGCCACATCTGGTATTATTCTAGAGACAATCAATGCATCATTTTTAATGAACAGCACACTTAGTTATATCATATCTTATATGATGAATCAGCTATACTTAGGAGTCTGAACTATTTAACACTCACTTCAATGAGCATTTTAAATAAGCCTATATGTAATGATACTACTGAATTACCAAGTTTAATCAAGTGGAATTGCGTAAAGTAATCTTGACTTCTGATGTCATTCCTAAGTTTAAAGCAAAACCAAAATAAAATTTATGTAACTAGTGATTACTAGTAGATGAGATCTCTGAAAGTACATTAAAAGACCTTCAACACTGACTATCTTAAAACATATTAATAATTAAATTGTCACAATACCAATTAAATAAAATTCTGGATTAATAAAACCTGAAAATCCTAGATTAAAAAAATTATAATACTTAAATACATTAACATAGAAATCTGAAAACATTACCATTAAGCCTATTTTCAAGTAGCACATTACCTGATCCCTCGAAGCTTTGCCCTATTGTCATGGCGATCCATGAGATTATGCATTACTTCCAAGACTAACTGTCTCAGTTCATAGTCTTCCATGAGGGATGGTGATAACAAAGGATCCAGAAAAGACCCCGGCAGTGCAGTAACTATTGTCTTTGCTTTGTATCCAGAGGTTACCTGATTATAGGGAGGAAAAACAAAGGAACAAACAAAAACACCTTTGTCATGAGTCCTTCTTTGGTAAAACTCTCAAGCTGTTTTATAAGAACCATAAGCTTACAGAAAACAGCAAGTATGGAACAAGCCTGAAGGAAAAACTAAAAGGAAATTTGTGAGATGATGAGGATTTTACTGAATTTACAAAAACATCATTCATAGAGTTAATAAAATTAATAATAGCACACATTCACCATATGCCAGGCATGAATCTAAGCACTATATGTGTGTTACCTTCATCCTTACCGTATTCCTATGAGGCTAGGCATTAGTGTACCCCCATTTTGTAAAAGAAAACTGAGGCTCAGAGAGACTAAGAATATATGGAACAGGTAGTCAGTCCTAAATGGATATAAGGAGACCAGGCAGCAAATAACACAGGTAAGACCTGAAAATTTTAAAATGGCAAATAATTCTTTTATTTTAAATTAAGCAATTTAGGTTAATAGGAAAGCATTTTCATTTTGGAAAGCTGTACTTTATTCTTTATTTGATGTGACATTTCTGAGTGTATCCCTATGTCTAAAGTTGGAGCTTTTAATTAGCATATACTTTAATGCTATTAAATAGTTTAACCATACCACACAGAAATTCATTCAGTTGACTATGTAGTACAATTAGGATTAGAGACAAGGTTATTTACTCAGGGAATTTATTTAATAAAAAGGCTTAGGACCAAATGAAATTTCATGTGGGTAATCTCTATTTATATTCAGGATTACTAGCATATATAGAACATCTAACATTTATATTTGGGCACTCATTATAGGATAAAGGTGATTTTATAAGTGAGCAGAAATTGGTGGGACAATTACTACCCACCTAGAAAAAATAAAAATATATCCATATCTTATACCACATACAAAAATAAACCTCAGATCAAAGTTCTACATGTGGAAAGCTGAATTTTAAACCTTTCGTAAGAAGATATAAACAAATGTGTTTATATCATCAGAGTAGGCAAGGAGCTCTCAAACAAGATACAAATAAAAAAGCAAAGATCACATAGGAAAGGACTGACAAATCTGGCTCTAGCTGGGCCCAGGCATCTTCATCTATAAAATGGCAACGCGCTTCCTGCCCTCGGTATGTTTCATCATTATGAAGATCAAATAAGACGACAGGAGAAGTGAGGAATAAAGAATAAAAGTAAAATTTTAAAGAATGAAAAGCATAATATTCAAGTATATAAACCACAGAAAAAAAACTTACCGTAAATACTATCTTATAATACAAGAAAAAGAAACTGATAATGTGAAGCTATTCTTTTAACCTCCTTAATAATTTAGGGTTAAGTGTGTTCTTCACCTGTCTTAAATTCCTTACCATAAGTAAAGATCTCAGCAACATTATCTGAATCCGCCTGGTTCCCAAATCCCTAAAATATACAAAATAGTGGTATTATCTTATTAATAGGAATTAACTTCATTTCCTTACATTATTATTTATTGATTTTAAAACTCTATTCATATTAGCTATATAGAGTTTATTTTCATACTAGCTAAAGTCAAGGCTCACTTTATACTCTAAAGTAAATTTCACATTAATTAAAGGGGTATATGTTAAAAAATAAATCAAATTTGAACAAAGAAAATTAAAAAGCTATTGGCTCTCAAAGGAAACAGACCTCTACACGTAATGACATGAAAAGTCAGTTGTATGAATACACAACAAAACAACCTCAATTAAAAGATACTATAAATTGGAGAACAGATCTATTGCAAATATAATTGACAAACATAATATCTATTTAACATATATTAATAAGCAGGTAAGAATGTGCCTAAATAATTCTAATATAAATAGTTCTTCAAAAAAGAATTAATAAATGAAGAAAGCGTTCTCTAATTAATGGCCAAATAAATATAAGTCAAATAAGAGTATCATTTCCTTATTAAATTAGCAACATACAAACATATTTACAAACTAAGGCTTTAGCATGTTGTAAAATCAAAGCAAATCTATAAAATGAGGGGAGGGGGCCAAGACATATGATCTTTAAAATAACTTTCAGTTCTAGAACTCTAGAAATAAGTAAACATTCCTTCCACAGTGACAAACTTGAAACTTTACCCTAAATAATCTACATATATAGAAAATGCCCAGGCTGCATAGACCTTCCACCTAGCCAAAATAAGAAAATTCGAGAATTTATGATATACTGAAAACTGATTCTAAAAGCATGCAATGTTTTTTTTGTTTTGTTTTTTGTTTTTTAATTTTTATTGGAGTATGGTTGCTTTACGATGTTGTGTTAGCCTCCACTGCACAACAAAACGAATCAGCCATACGTATACAGATATCCCCTCCCTTTTGGACCTCCCTCCCATTTAGGTTACCACAGGGCATTAGTAGAGTTCCCTGTGCTATACAGCATGTTCCCATCAGTTGTCTATTTTATACACAGTATCAATAATGTGTATGTGTCAACCCCAGTCTCCCAAATCCTCCCACCCAAGCATGCAATGTTGATTCAACTGCTTAGCAATCTAGTGCCATAACAACACCACAGGACTTTTATTACTGAGTAAAAAGATAAAACATTTTATAGATTTAAGATAAAATTTAATATAAGATTAAATTCAACTTTACAGTTTGAGAACACAGAACAACTACATACACATACCCTAGTTGACTGATATCCAAAGTATGGGTGGATGTTCCAAAGACAGGTACTTTCCCCATAATGAACATCATGATTTCTGACCTCTGATAATCTGGTAGGTTACTTCCAAAAAATCCTATAAAAATATTAAGATAAATTTAAGATAAATTTTGCAAATGGAAAAGTTTATTTTTCCATATAATAAAAAATCATAATATATTTTTAACCACAGCTTTCAATATGTGGTAAAATAATGTCTTTGAGCTACATGTAAGTCTAAAGATATTATAATTTCTTTGGTAAAAATCATTTAATGATGTACATTATAAGATGTGTATAATGGACTAATACTTAGATTAAGATAAATGTTTGAAAGTCTTTTGCATACAGTTAACAGTGGCAAATCATCAATTTGAATTGACTGGAGTTTTAGAGAAAGGAAAAAAAAAAACTTTTGGTAGTATTTCTGATGAAACCCTTGTTCCCATTTTGTAAGCCTAAATTCCTGTTCTAGTAAGAAAGTCAATAATTAGGCCACTACTTTGGCTTCCCCAGGATTGTTGAAATGTTCTAGAATGCCATTATAATGAGCCAGGTTTACAGTCTAACACTGTGGGTTAATTCAGTATTAATTCAATATACATAATTCAAATTATTTACTTATTTGTCATTTTTCTCAAGGAACTCTTGGGTATTGTGCACATTTTGAATTTATCTGTTATAGCTTTGGAAAGTTTACTTCCTCGTCACAGAAGACTTAGGACACTTAATAATCACTTACTCAAACTTTTAACCCTGTTGTTTCTTTGAAAGATCAGAACAGGTATTAAAACCTGGCTATTTTTTGATCATTTCTTAAAATGCAACATAATCATTACAGAAACCTACATTTTCAATATTTCTTTAAGAGTACATTAGTTTTTCAACTTAACTCTTCAGCCTGTATTACTGGAGTTAATAATCTCTTTCTATAAATTCAAATTGTTCTATTTATCATTTTGATTAGATCTAGGGGTAAAACTCATTTCTCTCTATAACATACTCTAGCAATCAAAAATCTCATGATCTGAACATTATTCAATCAGCATAAAGTATATTATTCTACCTAACACTTGAGCACATTATTTATGGGGTAAGAAGCTACTTTGTATTTGTATCCTTACAGCAACAAATAATAGTACCTTATGAATCTAGGTACTATTATTTGTGTCAGTTTCGTCTTGTGGAAATTAGGATAAGAGAGGTTAGGAATTCATACAAGAAATTACACAGCTAACACTAAGACCTGAGGTGAGATCTAGTCACATTTCCAAAGCCTATGTGTGTTATTATTACTCTCTGCTTCCTCTCTATAAGGTATTTTCAACTTTCCAAGAACCCAATTAGATATGTTCCTCATCACTGTGCAAAACCGGTCACTGATTTTCTGTTCCAAGCAAGCTGGTCATTAACCACAAAGATGGAAATTTTCCAACAAGTCAACTGTGAGGACAGCCAGAAAGTTAACTCATTCTCTATTCCCATTGTTTGTATTTGAACTGCTGAATAGAAGTGCTAATGAGCCTCCCCAAAAGAGCAGAGCATTATTTTAAAAGAGCGAGCTTGGCCAACCGCCTCCTGTCTTCAAGGGCAAAAGCTACAGCAGCCCTGTTCTGTGTCCCACCGATATTCACGTGACCTGATAAAGAAAGAATACTGAGAACTTCTGAAAGAAAATATTGAGGAAAGCAGAAGTGTGATTTAAATAAAAGTCTTATTCACTGTGCCACACTGCATTGTTTTTCTCTCATGTTTTAATTCTCACGTTATTCTGAATGTGTTATGTCACAGAAATATTGCTTGTCTGTGGTATATACATTTTATAACAACATACTTGAGAAACAATAAATTAAATACTCTAGAGTAAAACAGTGACACTGAATTACCTAGAAGTCACTACAGCAATTTAAATTAATTCTCTGAAAACAAGACTAGCTGATTTGATATACCATCTTAAAATATCACAGACACCCTGGGCCTTTGCCCTAATGAGGACAATTTCTATGCACATGATGAGATTGTGATTAGGTGAAACAGAGGTACTACCCCAAGGAGATCAACCAAAGGCATCCACAAGGTAGGAGTCACGTGCATCAAGAAGCCCAAGCATATGGCCTGGTGTTAAGCTCAATACGTTCAATAAAAAGGTGCTGAATGTGGATGTGTAATGCATGTATGCATATCCATAAAACTTTAGAAATAAACAAAGGAAAACTCTGTATTAAATATTCCAAAGGACTATTATAAACAAGTCGCCCATAGGTAGGATATTACTCAAATAAAAGGCATAAACTGAGCTCCAGAATAAATTTATATGACTCTATTATTAGTGGAAACTATTAGCAACCACTAGAGATTAGGTACTAAACCCAAGAATACAACTCAATTTGGAAATTATCCTAGAAATCATACAGTTACATTAAAATGTGATCTGGATACTCTAAAGAAAATATTGCAAGAGGAGGGTTAAAGTAGGAAGAGTTTGATTGCTTTAATTTGTATTTATATACAGTCTGATCATTTAATTTCCCAAAAAATTCCCCATGGCTTGCTTTCTTTCTTTTTTTTTTTTTTAAGTAAGTTCTTTACCCTTTTACCCTTTGTGTGTGTGAGGGGAGGGGGAAGCATATGATATTAAAGCCTGAGTATCAGTACCCAGATGCTGGTCTCTAGTGCCTTTCCCCACTAAAAGGAACCACAGCTCCTCAGAGAAATGACTGATTCTAGGATTGGGGCAGGAAGTATAAAATGAACCTAAGGCTGTGCTTAAAAGAAATGTGGGGGGATATTACAAAGATATAGAAAATAGGGGCTCCACTGGCCAAATCTGGAACAGTTTGACCACCAAAATAATAATAATAATTTAATAAATACAGAATAAATTATGAAGATAAAAATATAAATCCATGAGCTCATACCACTGTATTTAAATAGATAAACACATGTATTCCTACATACATAAGTAGGGAGAAAAAGGGCTCTTGCTTACAATGAACCCTGAGTGCCAAGTTGATAACCATCATTTTGTAACCATCATGGTAAAGACTCTGGTTCAGCTAAGAATTTTGAATGGTTGCTACATCTAGGGGGTAGTTTGGATGGAGAGCAGAATATCTGCACGGCCTAAAAGTATCTTCTCAGAGACTGCTTATTATTTGCAAGGGGGAAAATGGAAACTGTGCAGCAGAGAAATAGAACAATACTTTGCGTGATCAAAACTAACATCACCAGCGAGAAGTAGGTGTACTTCTCCGAATGGGATAATCTGAGAAGAACACTATCACTTACATAGTATCCAGCCAGGAACCCATAACCTGAATTTAATCATGAGGAAAGAGCAGACAAACCCATGTGAGGATATTTTTTTTTTAAGTGAGGGGTCAGGGGGACCTATAGTCTTAAAAAAATGCCCATATCATAAAAGGGAAATGTTCCAAACTAAAGGAACCAAAGAAACATCACAACTAAATGCAACTAAATGATCCTAGACTGAATGCTGGACCTAAGGAAAAACACGCTATAAAGGACATTATCAGGTCAAATGACAAAACTGAAATATGAAAGTTTGACTAAAGTACTGTATCAAAGTTAAATTTACTGATTTGATAACTGTACTCTGGTTATATAAGAGTACTCTGGTTTATTCTTTGGAAAAATAATCTGTAGTAAAGAGCCATGCACTTACCATCCAGTGGTTAGGAAAAAAATGTAGATGTGTATATGTATGTATCTATGTCTCTCTATATGTATATATTTATATATGTGCTTATGTGTGTATATCTATATATACACACATATACATACACACACAGAGAAATGGAGAAAGGGATGGAGAAAGGCAGACAGAGAGAGAAAGGAAATGATAAAGTAAATGACATAAAATATTAATAGATGAATCTGGGTGAAGGGTATATACAGTGTTCTTTGTCGTATTCTTATGTTTGTTTATTTTCCAAACAGAAAGTTCTTTTAAAAGTCTAAGCTATCATTCACCTTTGACTAATGTCCCGTAAGAGACAAGTACCTTCTGTGAGGGCTTTCTGAATTGCTGTTTTCCAGAATAATTTGAAAAGTGAAATGTACTCACCTATTGTTTGGATGATAGCATTCTGCACAATCTTCTCATCACTGTCTTTGGAATTTGTGTTTAAGTTGGCACTGCTTATAGATTCTCCCTGTAAATCATGTGCTTCAAATTCAACACTGAGACGCAGATGTTTCAATAGGGTGTTAAAGACCTCCAGCACTGTGGGTCCTGCAAATGAACCCTGATGTAAGCAGATACATTCTTCTGGTAACGTACACTCAAATCCAATCCTCGTACTTCTCAACAGAGATTTCTGCATATTTTCTAAGTACTTGGAAATACTTCATAATTTATGAACTAACTAGCACATTAAAAAAGTAAATGAGAAATACCTAAATAAGAAAGTCTCCTAGCTAGTCCAACAAACATTTACTGGGCATCTCTGAGCAAATCACTGTTTGAATCCTTGGTACAAACCACACAAAATGTGTATATTCATATAAAGATTACCAAAAACTTTCCATCTATCTAATCTTGTCTACTCAGAATAATGTGTACAGTATTGGGATAACCTGACTGTTGGGTCAGAATCCAGAGAACTATAATATAGCTCACTGTGGCCTAAGAAAGTTATTTGGCATCTTTTGAGGCTGAAGAAGAAAGAATTTTGCCTCAATTATTAGACAGAAACTAGTCAATTTATCACATTCAGGTAAACTAACTATGCTCTCTGTTTTTAGTACTATAAATACTCTGCCTGTGTTTCTGGCACTGCATCTATCACGCTATACTTTAATCAGTGTTTTTATTTCTGCCTCCTACTCTAGATTCCAACTTTCTCCAGGACAGGCAGCCACGTTCAAATGCTTCTTTGAATGTACGGAACCTAAAACATAGCAACCTCACACATAATAGATATTAGCAGGTGAGACGATTCAGTCAATGCATCATCTGTGTTTCACTTCATATTTCAAGTTAACTCTTCAATTAAGTAACCTGCTTCCATCTCTTTGAGATAAGTTATGAGTAATGACAAGTCCATATCCAAAATGCCCACTCTCATTTGACACTGAGTGAATATTAGAATATTTCAGCAGCTAATGTACAGTTCCACTTTCATTTTGAAGCAAAGAAACCATAACTAGATTTTCCTCCTAATTTCAGTAATTTTATTAGGGACCCTTCCATTCTTCTAATCCCATGTGAGTGAAAAAGCATGATGTCTGACCTGTCCCTTCTCCTTGTTACCCCTCTAGTCAGTCAGTTATCAAATCCTGCTGGCTTTAGTTCCCATTTCTACTGCTGCCATCAAGGTCAAGTTCTTTCTCTGTGCCTACAATGGTGACAACCACCTGTGACTTCTAATGTGTCCTACGCTTTGCAGCCAGATGAATTACCCTATAACACATCTCTGATGAAGGGTACAGTAAGGGTACAGTAAATCTTTAACTCGTGTCAGTCCACTGTAGAATGACACCCGTGGCCTGGCCACAAGTGAAACTCGCTTCTCGGGCTTCCCCCACACTACCACCATATGTCCTCGTCAAACGGGCTACATAATACTTCCCTCCTGCTGATCCATTTTCCCTCCCTTCTCTGGACCCTGGTTTTCTTATGATACGTGATCAAATTCTGCCTTGTATTACAGTGTAGGTAAAGTCATCTAACTCCAAGTAAACCATAACTTTCTTGAATTTGTACCCTCCCAATGTTTAGCATATAACTAACTGGTATTCAAGAATCTTTATTGGAAAAAAGGAGGAAGGGAAGAAGAGAATGATCTGGAGGGAAGTGTTTAACTGTAACTAAGGAAGTCTGACAACAGTCATGTGAACCTAACATTTCAAGAGAAATTAGAGCACATTTAAAAACATAGCAAATATTTTCAAAGAGTTTTCCACACATTGCTATTCCCACTGAAAAAGAAAATTCTGAAAAAGGTTAATGAATTTTTTTGTGGGGGGGTGCTGGCACTCACCTATGGAACCTTTAGCAGCAATGGCAACAGCCTCTAACAGAACCTGAATAATTCCTGCTCGAACTCGTGGAGAATCTTTTTTACGAGCATCAAGGTGTCCTAGAATCTCCTGGATCACATGGTGAGAATACTGAGCCTAAAAGAACAAAATAGTGTAAAAATATATGAACAATTACATGCATCCTGGCAGAATTCATAAGAATGATAAACCATGTGACACTTAATGGAACAATATGTAGCCATTAGAAACCGTTCTTTTTAAGAATAAATAGGGATACCAGAAAATATTTACGATATCCTGAGTGAAAGAAAGTAAGTTGTAAAATACTACGTTAAATAAAATTCTGTTTTTTAAAAAGTATATAAGACTGGAATTATATATGCCTACATATTAACACTGGTCATCTGAGAGGGAGATCTATGAGACATTTTTACTCTCTTTGTACCTCTCTGTAATTCCACAAAGAATATTTATACACTCTTTTAACTTGATAATAGGACAAAATGTTGTTAAAAAACAGATTATGACATTTATAGTACTTCTCTCTTACTCAACCAGATACATACTATTTCTTATCATGTACATCTAACAATGCTAAACAGTCAAAACTCTCATCTAATCAAGAGCCACTACCAAAATTAAAGTCTTAACAATGTGTACCTGATGAAATTTCCTGATCAGGGCCAGCTAGTTTAATGTTTTATGGACAGAGGTTGAAATATTACCTAAGAATGATTCTTATATCAATTTTATAGTAAATGGCAATTAAAACAATCAAATCTATCAGAAGTTTTGACTGTATCAGGATAGTCTTATTAAACAGAAACTCCCATTCTGGTGGGTACTACCATGTAATTTTTGATTAATGGACCTCAAAAAACATATGGTGCGCTTAAAGCTCCTTGTAAAGCAATGCTGTGGACCAGAAGTCATTTCTCAGACATTTAATCAACAAATATTGATTCCTTCAGTTTCTTCAACTTCGTAATTTACTTTACTTTTTGTAAAAAACAATTTCATCTAGTAACTAAATCTGAATGAGGAAGGCAAATGAAGAAATACAAGGCTACTGAAAACTAGGGGAACAGCCTTAATTATGTCCAAAGATGGCCAGATCAACTTCTCACCTACTAAACTAAAATTAAATTAAAAGTTCTCATCAAAGGGGAAAGAAAATGTGCAACTATGTGAGGTGATGGATCTTGAGAAAACTTATTATGGTTATCATTTTGCAATGTTGTATACCTTAATCTTATATAATGTTATATGTCAATTATAATCTCAATAAAATCGGGAAAAAAATTTTTTTAAATTATCCTTCCACACCCAAACCAGCTTTATAATAACTACCATGCACTGAAACCCTACATTATGCTAGGCATGCTATGGTAACCTAAACTTAATGTTGAATTTAGACCAAAAGCTCTAGAACAGAATGACCAGAATTTGAATCCTTACATTCTACCTGTGTACCCTTGAGTGAGGTGCCTGACCTCTCTAAAGGTCAGTTTTCTGATCCGTAAAATGGGGATAATAACAATATCTACTTCATAAAATAAGGAGGATTAATGAGATAAAGCATATACATAAGGTTACTAGCATATTTAGAGGTATAGCCAGCACTTGTTAAATGGTACCTTCCATTTTAACATAAAAATGAACCATTCAATGAATTCATTAACATTTCCTTCTCAGAAATGAGGAAATTGAAGCTCAGAGAGGCTAAATAATTTGCCCAAGTTCTATGCAACTAGTAAACAGCACATCTAGGATGAAAATCCTGGTATGACCTATACTAAAAGCTATACTGCTTCTTACTACCTTATCTCCTTTAAATTAATAATGACTTTTTAGGGCATTAAAAATGTAGATAGTGTTAAAAAATAAAGACCTAAAATCCCACTTGAATTAAGAGCTAACTGGGTCTGTTCAAGTTTTAAGAAAACCAAGGCTGTCCTCTGCAGTAGATGAGAGTGCCTCGTCAGGTGCCTCAATGCATAAAGACTATAAATATCAATTCTAATACCAGTTTATCATAAAATATAAATGCTTAATAATGTATTTAATAAATGCACAATAAAGATTGTCATCATAAAATCATTTAGTTCTTTTTAATTGGATATTTTTTCATCTTGGCAAATAAGAATAAAAGCGGTAAATAAAGATAGATGAGACAAAGAACTAAATTAAGAACACGTCTTATCTCCTACATTGTTCTCTATCTCTGTCTGAGGACGTGCTTATCGACACAGAACTAAAATTACTTATATATAAATATAACAGTTAACCAATCCTTACCTGAATGGAATACATTATAACTTTAAAGCAGTGAACTGCAAATTCATTGGGATCCCATAGTCTGTGATGATCTAAATGCCTGTAAATTAACAGTAAGAAAATTCCTTTAAGAGTTCCTTATTTTTGTTACACTTTCTCCTCTAGAACCCTCAACAATAAGCAAAGCCTACCAATCAAAATAATATTATCTAAAAGAGAGTCAATGTTTCCATTTCCACAACAACTGCCAAATCCTTTCATAAAACAGTAATAAAAGACTAGAATATATATATATATATATACACACACACACACACACATACATACATACATATATGATTTTTCAATACCAACATGAGCTGGCAAGAAAGAAAAGTCCCTCAGTCCAGACTCCACAAGAAGGTAAGAATCTGGAGAGGTAAGCATACATTGAAGCCAGCAGTTGTCTTAGGCACATCTTCAGATCTCTGGTAGCTGATAGCTAGTGGTTTAAAGGGTTGTACACACAGGAGACTGGAGACAAAGTTTAGGGTCCACCCAGGAAAGGTGGCTATCAGATCAGAAACACATGCATCAATTCAAGCCTTAAAAGACGACACCTTCAATGAATCTGGGGGAATGTTCTATGTTGTAGAAGACTGTCAAAAAGCTTGTCTGTGTTGGCCTTGGCTCTGAGAAGAATCACAAAAATGAAAGTCTCTCTGAAGAATTCAACCATACACCTAGCACCCAGGCTCTCATCTTGGTTGACAGAATTCACAAGTATCATCTTGGTTGACAGAGTTCACAAGTATCTATGTGGCTCAAAAAAACTGAAGATAAGAATGTAGTTCAAAGTGGTACCTGGATAACACTGCATCCATGCCTTCAGCAGAAGCAAAATAAAGCCTCTCATGGAGTACACACCGTTAATCCAAGCCTCAAAGAATTCTCACAAATAAAGGTACAATGAATATGTGCTCAAAATTAAAATTCACAGAACACACAAGGTAAAAAGCCACTAGGAATGCCAATTATCAATCAAGTTTTTAAGGACTAGGACAGTTTTATTCATGTATATATTCCCCCAAAATACCTGGTACCTTACTTGCAGAGGGCATTTAATATTTAATCAACTAATTAACTAAATAGCTAATATATAATTAACTATTTAATTAACATTTAATTAATTAACACATGATCAGGAGGTAAGTCCACTAAGTTCTACATAGAAAAGAATACGGCCCACTTCCAAGTTACTCAAGTAATCAATTATAGTTAATTCGGTAGTTTCCTTCTTTTAGACTAGCTCTCTAGATTTTTAAGGCCTTAGAGATTACCTCTCGGTTAACAAGATAAAAGCTGGAATTCTGATATTAAATCAGCATGTCTGGAAAAAATAAATCTGCCTTTAGTTATATTTGACATAATTTGATTAGTTCTTAGTAGCATTTTCATAAGCTCCCAGAGTCTTTAAACGGTAAATCTCAACTTTTTGGTGGTGGTAGCAGTCGGGGGTGGGGTGGGGGGAATCCTTTTGAAAACACTATAATATTTCTCTGATGCTTAATTTTGCGGTTTATAGATTCTTGTAACTAAAGCTCAACTTTGAACCCAAATATATGCCCTAAATAAAGAATTCTGGATGTTACATTTTGACTACTTTATATATGCTATAAAGACATTATTATAGTCAGGAAGGGGAAAGGACAAGGCAAATGATTAACAAAAGAAAGACTAGCAAAAATGTCCAGAAATTACACAGAATGTTATATAAATCTATCATCTGACAACTGAGTTAGAACTCAGAGGGTTTACAAGGCTTGAGAGATAACGTCTATGTGGAGAAACTCAAGGCTCACAAATGTATTCTGCTTGGAAGGCAGCATATAAGTACCAACGAGATATTTAATATTCCTGCTCTGCTCAGTCACTGGGTATAAGATAAAATTTAGTCAGAGAAGAGAATGCGACCTAAGGCAGTCCAGCCATGGCAAAAAGAAAGCCAAGAAACAGAAGCCAGGGAATATGAGGAACTGACCAGAAGTTAATAAAATAAGATACATCATACTTGGACATTCGTTTGTTTTAATATTTTACTGGATATATACATTTCAAGGTGTGAATAAAAACTCTAGTGAAATGATGCACATGACTGTATTTCCTATTTAAGGGGGAAAATCTAGCAAAGTGGTTGAACAAGTGCTCAAAGGGATGTTGTCTGACTCAATCCTGTACCCTTCCCACATTGCTGCACTGGCTCTATTAATAACTCACTCACACAGGTAAGAGTATTTGTCCTCTGCAAGTAAATTACGACAGAAGGAACACAGCACAGTCACAAGTAAGCAGGGAAACACCAACTACTTACGCAAACACTGGTCTCACAGCATTATTCATGTTCCCAAAAGTCGCTCGGCCCAGCAGTTCTCTGAAGCAGTTTTCAGCCAGCATGGCGGGGTTCTCTTCTTTGTCAGCTGCTGAAGGAGAAGGAGGAGGGCCTATGCGACTGAAAAATAAAGACAAACAAATGAATGCGAGAATTCTGACACTAGTTCTGACAGTTAAACAGAACAGATTTTTACTTCTCGGAAATATCAGAATGATATTTTCTTGTTATCCCAAAATAACTTTAGAGCTTAATTCTACTTCATGAACTCAACACCTTGAAGCTGATCACATAATCTTTCAAAATTGGAGAGCTAAATTCACTTGTATAACTTGTTTCTAACTAATAGAATATCTTTTCTAAAGGCAAAATACTCAGTAGTTGCTATTTTGTTAACTTCCTACAACTTTGCTACATTTATAGCAAAATCCTAGTAAGAACAAGGTGCCCAAAGATCACCCAGTTTAACTGTAAGTGAGCAAAAATAAAATCAAGTAAAAAACTATGGCACAGTCTGAATAAAAAATAAAAATTCAAAAGCTAATTAGAACATTTGTATAAGTAGATGTCTTCAATAGACACTATTTGTTCATATTTTAAAACCTTATTTTAGATTAATGTATTCATGTGCAATAATAATTTCAAAAAAGCATGTATCTGTAGCATTGGGATAAAACCATGAGAAAACACAACTTCTTAAAAGTTGGCAACCAATGGTATCAGCATTCCTGTATCCTATTTATGCTAATCCTGTACCTCAAGAGCCATAATTATGGGGAGTCAATTCTCAACTAGCCAGGTACCTTTAGAAGAATAAATATTTTAGACAGAAAAACTAACCTCAGCTACATTGCCAAGAACAGGAAAAATACCCAAGGTGTTAAAATATATCATTTCACATTTTAGGTTTCCAAAGCTGGAGACAATCACACCTAAGGACTCTAGCATAAATACTTGCTGTGATTGCCATAAATTCTGATAAACATACGAGCGCTTGCAGAGTTAACCAGTTTCGCCTTTTCACTTCTAGGCCACTTTTATTTTGATATTGCACACATAATCATCAAAATTACAAATTAAGTTAAAATTTTAGAACTACAGAATTAAATATCTTTTAAATTTGATTTGGATTTCCCTCTTTAAACTGCAAGGACCAGGGAGATCAGCATAATAAGCCAAACTGGAGAATACTGGTTCTAAAACTTGGTTGCATAGTACCTCTGTGTAAGGCAACAACTTTGGGAGGAAAGCATGCTTATGGCATTTGAAAAAAGAGAATAAAGTACAGAATTCTAAGTTCAACAGGTTACTGGGGTGGGTGGGGGGAAGAAATCAGCATACACCCCAAAACAATATTCCATGCCAAAATATCTTAGAAGAATAAATAAGATATAAATAGCCTAGTACTTCTGTTGAAAAATATATATACATTGAATAGTAGCTGCTATTATTATTATTTTGATTAGTACTAACTCCCTACGAAAAAGCATGCTGGATCTCTAAAGAATAACAGAAGTTCAGTTTATAATCTCTATTTCTTACACTTGGCAGCTTTAAGTAGTATTAATTCAAATAGCAATGTCGATGCCCAATAATAAGCAGAAAGTAAAGTGAAAATTTATTCTAAAAGAAATAAAAGCTTAAGTGTCTGAGTCAAAATCTGTCTGCTCAGTCTAATTTGACGACTGAAGCTGGTATTTTTTCAGAAAGGATACATATTTAAACTTGCTCAAGTTTACGGGACTACTATATACATAATACTAAAGACAAACGTTCTTACTCTAGCAAGCGAGCACACATACACACATATTAAAGTAACACAGCCCCAGCCCTAACATCTTTATTCAATACCTGTCAACCTCTTCTATCTTTTGCATGTTAAACAGCAGGGATGGAACAATTTTATCCATATGCTGGGGTTCCCAAATGGTAGCCCGAAGTTCATCATTAACTGTTTTGCGAACCACACCTTGAATACCTCTGATTCCAGCAATTCGGATTCTATAAAAAAGAAGAAAAAAAACTGAGTCATGAAAAAAAGCTATTTAAACAAGTCTGCTTACTTAACTAAGAGAATGGATGTCAAATAAATAGTTATCTCGAGACAATAAAAATAACATACAATAAGTCTAAGAAATAAAAATCTCAAAAATCTAAGATGGACAGAGATATGGCAGTTCCAAAAGAGGCTTTTTTTTTTTAATAAATAAATTTATTTTTGGCTGCGTTGGGTCTTCATTGCTATATGCGGGCTTTCTCTAGTTGTGGTGAGCGGGGGCTACTCTTCATTGCGGTGCGCGGGCTTCTCATTGCGGTGGCTTCTCTTACTGTGGAGCACATGCCCTAGGTGCGTGGGCTCAGTACTTGTGGCTTAGTTGCTCCGCAGCATGTGGGATCTTCCCGGACCAGGGCTCAAACCTGTGTCCCCTGCATTGGCAGGCGGATTCTTAACCAGTGTGCCACCACGGAAGCCCGAGGCTTACTTTTAATACCATCTTTTTACAATCAACATTTAAAGTTAAAAAAGACTTTTATAGACATATTTTCTCTGTATCAGTTTTCAATAAAAAATAATTTAATCAAAGGAATTAGGTTCTCCTACATTCTCTGACATAAATCATACCAATGTTTTCTTAGGTCAGTCTCCCAAGGCAATAGAAACAAAACCAAAAATAAACAAATGGGACCTAATCAAACTTATAAGCTTTTGCACAGCAAAGGAAACCATAAACAAAACAAAAAGACAACCTACGGACTGGGAGAAAATATCTGCAAATGATGCAACTAACAAGGGCTTAATTTCCAAAATATTCGAACAGCTCATACAACTCAATAATGAAAAAACAACCCAATCAAAAAATGGGCAGAAGACCTAAACAGACATTTCTCCAAAGAAGACACACAGATGGCCAACAGGCACATGAAAAGATGCTCGACATCACTAATTATTAGAGAAACGCAAATGACAAGTACAATGAGGTATCACCTCACACCAGTTAGAATGGGCATCATCAAAAAGTCTACAAATGACAAATGGTGGAGAGGCAGTGGAGAAAAGAGAACCCTCCTACACTGTTGGTGGGAATGTAAATTGGTACAGCCACTATGGAGAACAGTATAGGAGCTCCTCAAAAAACTAAAAATAGAGCTGCCATATAATCCAGCAATCCCACTTCTGGGCATGTGTCTGGAGAAGACTATAATTTGAAAAGATATATGCACCCTAATGTTCAATGCAGCACTATTTACAATAGCCAAGACATGGAAACAGCCTAAATGCCCACTGACAGATGAATGGATAAAGAAGATATGGTATATACATACCATGGAATACTCTACTCAGCCATAAAAAAGAATAAAATAATAGCATTTGCAGCAACATGGACGGACCTAGAGATTATCATACTAAGTGAACTAAGTCAGAAAGAGAAAGACAAATACCATATGATGTCACTTATATGTGGAATCTAAAATACGACACAAATGAACTTATCTACGAAACAGAAACAGACTCACAGATATAGAGAACAGACTTGTGGTTGCCAAGCTGGGTGGGGAGGGATGGATGGGGAGTTTGGGATTAACAGATGCAAACTATTATATACAGAATGGATAAACAATGTGCTACTGTATAGCACAGGGAACTTTATTCAATATCCTGTGATAAACCATGATGGAAAGGAATATTAAAAAATGTATGTATAACTGAATCACTTGGCTGTACAGTAGAAATTAACACAACATTGTAAATCAACTACACTTCAGTAAAATTTTTTTAAAAATGAAAAAAAAAAAGGTTTTCCTAAGTGGATGATAATAATTCAAACCAACGTGGACCAGATTCTCTCCCATTTCTTGCCTAGAAGTCTCAGCAGCTGAGTGAGAACAGGATTTCACTGCTCCTGAACACCCTTAATGCGTCTGCAGACTTTTCATGCAGTTTCTCCCTGAGAACCTCTCACCTCCCTTAGTCCACCTAGATGGAAGACGAGGCTGGTTCCTTAAAAGGTATGACAAAGGAGAACTATCAAAATGCAGTGCCGATAACCTGAGCCGTATACATATACACATATACATCCGTGTGTCCTGATGTATATACATTACTGTGTGCATATGGGACTTAAAATGTATCCATATTTATCCATACTGTGAGAGAATGCTGCCTTATCCTCCCTTCCCAATTCACAGCCCTCAACTTCCTCAAGCTCGTCCTCATTCTTCTTTAAAAATAAAATCTATCAGTTCAAGGATGAGAAGAAAGGTAACTAGAAAACAGTATATAAAATCTGGGGAAGAACAATCTCACGAGAAGAGCTAACACGGTAGCCCCTCTGCCCCGAAACACCTTCATTCTGGCCAAATTTGATTGTTATTTACCCTCCTTTTTTGTTACTACCTGAAATAGTCACCATTAGAAGTTTACTCAGCTTACCCAGCACTGTTTCCAAAAGCTGCGAATAGGGTTAGAGAATGGAAGATGTGGGGAAGGGGGTGATACTGCGTAGAAACCCATCGGGAAGTAATGCAGACATTCAGTAGTAGCAGGTGGAGCATGGGATACGGCGGTAACATGACACTGAACAGGTGAGAAAGTGAACTAGGAGACAAATCTTGCCTTTTACAAAGCTGTGTCTTATTCATGCTGCTTTCTACAACAAAAAGAAAGTCTTGAAAATCTCTTCTGCAGCTACCACAAGTGGGCAAGCCTAACATTACTACAAAGGTAGTATTTGCAAGTCAAATATTTTAAGAAAATCTTAACAGTTATCAGCCCCATTTCCTACTGGCCATGCCCCCTAAGTTTTATTTGACAGTGTATTGCTAAAAAGAGGGATTTATAATAATTATCTAAGTTAGAACCTAAGAAGGAATATAAATAGTCCTGAAGAAAACCAAAAGGGCTTTTACTAAAAACGAAGCCGAAAAAAAAAATCAAGCCCTCTAAGTATCTTAAAGCATTTTAGTTTACTCATTTGTTTCACAGTGATTCAAATGAAGTGTTATTTTGGAATATCAAATGTTATATAATAAAGAATTAAGACAAAGTACCACCTTTCATTTGTGTACAGAAAATTTCAAGTTTCTTTTTTGTAAGTTGAAAAATGTTACAAAAATACGTGTTCAAAAGACAAGATTTTTCACTAGGGGGCGCTAAAACCTAAAAATCAGATACCCATGTAAAAGTTTTGAATATTTAAAATGCATCCTTTCATAGGTACTATAATATCATAAACACTTTTCACCTACATTAGTTTATATGTGAAATTCACCACCTCAACCAAAAACTGGGAAACGCCTACGTGAACAAACTAAACAAACAAAAAAAACCCCATCTTCTGGATTATTTTCTGTATTTTAAAAGAAAACAAAATTGTTACAACTTTGAACAAAACGTGCCATTTTATTTAGCTAATTTTTATACCTTTTTGCCCCATTAACAAGTTAATACCAGCTTCTGAGAACAGGGAACAGTTTTATAAAACATTTTTTGAATATCCTTTAGGGAGAAAAAGAGACTTTAGCAGTGATTGGGAGAAACAGGAAATTTATTATTATAAGATAGTTATAGTTATCTCTATTTTTCTATAAGGCTTTACACCCGTAATAAAGGAATAACATCAGGATCCTAAATGGCCTATAGTATACCAAGGAAAAATTATACTAACAGCATCTCAGACAGAAATAATTCTTATATCTGAAAACTATTAAATTACCGCTCAGCTTTCTTTCTCCAAGTTAAGTAACTTTTACACTTGTTTTTGTTTGTGTAAAGCAACATTGTAGCTTGCATACTTACAGCTAACTAGTTACCTTTCTGTATATTCCTTTATTTTAAAAGAAAAGTAAAAATCACAAAACATGCTCAATCTTGACTATCGACTGCTCATGACAACACTCTGAATTTGGGTTAGTTTCTTTCTTTTTAGGTGTATTATGGTAAAGCTCAAACTACATTTACCAGGGTCATTTTGAATTTAATTTTTAACTTTCATATACATGTCAATCTACCGATTGTGTTTGCAGATAAGTATTTGATTCTAGATTATTACTAGGATGTATCTAGAAGAAATGTTTAAAAATGCCCAAATCAGTTGTCATGACAACCTCAGTGAGACAATGATCCCATAACATACAGTCATTCATTCATTCAATTTATGTATGTATTCATTCAAAAAGTGCTCATTGAGAGCCGGTAATGTGCTCAGCAATATTCAAAGTACTAGTGATACAGCAGTCCTCAAAACAAAACCCTTGCCCTCCTGGAGTTCATCTTCCATAGAGGAGAGACAACAGACAAGATATGAGAAGATAAAGCTTAACTGGGAGGGTTGATATTAATAAATAAAAGGTGGCTGAGGGAGGATTCTCATGATAAGGTGACATCTGAGCAGAAATCTGAACAAAGTGAGGTAAGGCCGAAAGACCACTCCGTCCAAAGGCCCTGGGGAGAAGTGTGCCTCATGTATTCAAGCAAGCGAGGAGACCCATGTACTAGATCAGAGTGAAAGGAAGAAGAAATGACAGGATCTAACACTGGGGTACGGTGAGCATTAAAGGGCATTCTGGGTTACAGTAAAGACTCTGCATTTTATTCTGACCAAGTTAGGAAACCACTCTCAATTTTGCTGCTCTAGTCAGTTCTTCTAACAGCAATGAAATTTGTACTTCAGGAATAAAGCATATATTTTCCCATCTCCTTTGGTGATCATTATGTAATATATAAACACAATATTCATCAATAAATAACTCCAAGACTATAAACCATAAAACAATACGTACTCTGTTCGTGTTTCTGGATCACTATCACAAGAGTGACACATGGCACTGAAGCGAGATACAAAAAAATCATAACGTCTATGATAGGACGGTGTGTCTTCTTCAATATTTGCAAATTTGACAAACTAAAAAAATAATAAGATGTATTATCACCTTTTTGACAGTGTGGAACAAACACATTTACCTTCATTCATTATTTGTTACATCGACAAGAAATATCCAAGTAAAAAGCAAACGAAATATGAAATATCATAAATGCCACATATACACGAAAGGAAGTTTTTGATAATGAACTTTACCTAATCAAGAATATAGCATTATAAACATCAAATATAACTTTGTGATGCAGTCTCTTTTGAGTGAGCCCACTCTCCCAAGAGCTCTCATTCTAAAGCCCTTCTGCATTTCCTGGATGCTGACGGTGTTTCCATGACAACCTCAGTCAGGCCCAAACTTTCAGGGAATTTTATTTCTTAAATCTCGGGTAGGAAATCTTGACAGTTGTTACATAACACATGAATGAATAATATTTATACAAATGAGACGGGACAAGAAAAAAGGGCCCTAAACTGAAGAAAACCAACTCAATATAGAAGAAAAAATACTGAGATGGTAAAATTTATTCTACCTCTTTTCTAAAGATTAAAAAAAGAGAGATATCCATATGTTTAGGAAATTTTAAATATCCTACATGAGTCACAGGCCTAGCCATATGATTCCTTAATATGTACTCTTTTTTTCTTATTTGCTTTCTCATTTATTCAGTAATTTATTACTCCTAAAATAGCCTAAAGCTGTCCTGGAAACAAAACTAAAGTAAGCATAGAATAAATTTGAAAAAATAAAATTATGATACTAAAAGTATTTTAAATTAATTCAGCCAGAGCCAAGTCATCTGTTTTAAATTATAATTTAATGATTCATATTATCTAGAAAAAGACCACAAATACCACACCTGGTAGAGATGAAACTGACATTCATTACCTACTCTGTACCATATTCTGTACTAGGTGTTTTCACGTGAGTTCTTATTTAATCATTCCTACAATCCTGTAAAGAATGTGTCATCATCCCCATTTTACAGACAGGAACACTGAAATTCAGAAGTTAAATTGCTTGCCCAAAATGACACTGTGAGTAAATGGTGAAACTGGCATTACAGTTCAGGGGTTTGATTCCAATTTTCCAGATTCCCATACTACACACTGACCATATGAAGAGTTTCAGAAAATATTAAGCCAAATATTTGTATTTTTTATAAAAAGAAACTTTGAATGACACCAGGAAATGCTCAAAAAATGTGAAAGATAAAAACACATACAAGTGTATATACAATATGTTCCCCATTTTCTAAACTATATTTTAAAAAGAAATTAAAATAGTAAAGGACTACTTCTGGATACTGAAATTACAGGTATCTTTAACTTGTTTACTCTTTCATATTTTCTTGCATTTTCCAAACTTGCTACCAAAAATCACATATTAAATTAGAAAAAAATTAATCAGAAATTTTAAAATTTGGCCATTAAAATGTTAAATTGTTCTAGAAATTTTTTAGGAGAAACTTTATTCTCTTTTCACTTATTGAAAGTCACAAATGCTCAAGTACAATCTGAGTGATCATTTACAGAAGCGTCTCCTATCACCCTTTGGCATAAAGAACAGGATAAAACATGTGCAGCTATGTTCCAGGGAAGTGCATGAAATATTATCTTCCTTCCCAATTTTATGGAAAAGCTCTTCTAATTCCTGTAACTCTGGGAGCTCTCTAACAAATTCTAAACCTATACACCCTGTGCTAAGAAAAATCAATAAAAAGAAAGGTATTATCATTATAGACTTCTTATCATACGTAGGAGTGGGAAAAAATGAGACAGTATGGCGCAGAGATTAGGAATGGATTCTGTTAGAGGGCTCTGGATTTGGATCCTGGATTTACTAACAAAATATGTGACCCGTGAAATGGAATATTTAACTTACAGGGCTGTTGAGAAGTTCAAATGAGAACCAAACAAAAGTTAGCACAAGGCCTTGCTACTTTCTCCCCCTCTGAGCTCAGTGCTCTGTGATGACCCAGATAGGTGTGGGAGTGGGAGGGAGGTCCAAGAGGGAGGGGATATATGTATACATATAGCTGATTCACTTTGTCGTACAGCAGAAACTAACACAACATTGTAGAGCAATTATGCTCCAATAAAAAAAAATTTAAGTGAAGAGCTAGATATGTTTTAAAAGGTACAACAAAAGGCAGCAGCACTGTGATCTTAGATGTAGTTTCTCACAGTAAGCACTATTAAATTTTCGACCCAATAAACTTTGTCGTGGGGACTGTCCTGTGCATTACGTATAGCATGTTTAGCAGCACGCCCAGCATCCTAGAAGGCACTAGCACTCCCCCAAGCCCAGGTGTGAAAAATCAAAAACGTCTCCAGACACTGCCAAACGTCCAGTGAGGGTTAGTGAGGGGGGAGAACTGTCCCTGGTTGAGAATCACTGCTTTAGTGTAGTGAATGGTTTAAATGACTGGGCCCTATGGACAACTGTCAACAATAGTTAAAGAAAAGGTAAAGATTAGCAATAGGCTTCAGAAAAGTGAGATGGATCAATTGAATACAAGAGGAAGAAAAAAAGGAAAGTAACCTCTGCTTTTCCTAGATTTTAATCCACAAAAATGACAATGTATTTATATAACACAAGCTTTGGAGTAGGAAAGGCCTAGCACTGAATCCCTGTTATATAACACTATTATTTCACTATGTCTTTGGACATGTTATTTAGCTTCAATTCCTCATCTGTAAAATGGGAATAATACTTCTAAGCGTGAAGGTTTTTTGTGAGAATTAAATGACATAATGTATATGAAGTATCTAACATATACTATATTATTTCTTTTAAAAAACATGAACCAATGTTGCAGAGTGTTAACATTTATTGCTATTATGTATTATTATTTATAACAATAATTATGTATTATCATTTATTGATATATTAACTACTTAACAATTTTCTTGCCTGAATCTGTGTTTATGCGGGTATGCTATATTATTCTCTATACTTTTCTATATTTGAAATAGCTCACAATTTTAAAAAAGGGTAAAAACACAAAGTACCTAGCACAATTTCTAAAACAAAGGAGAACCTGAATAAATCCTGTACTGTTATGCTGAGTCAGCATCAGCACAAAGTGGCAAATGTCAACAAATTAAAATAAAATGTACAAAGACCACTAACAAATACAAAGGGACTAAATCAGTACCAGTCATGTTTGACAGCTTAGCACCACTAAGGAATTAAAATCAGACTTCCAGGGAATACTATATAAATAATTTTGGCCAAGATAATACAGCATTTCATTTAATACAACTCATTCAAGTCAAAGTAGGCAACTGGAGAATTTTGTCTTTTTCCCAAATGAGTCATTAAAGGAATTCTAATGGCATTGCTGGCTTGAAGTGAAGAAACGTCTGGAGATTTACACTGAAACTCCTTCCCCCACAACCATTAAAACACTTCCCCTAATATATAGGATGGATAAACAACAAGGTCCTACTGTATAGCACAGGGAACTATATTCAATATCCTGTGATAAACCGTAATGGAAAAGAATATGAAAAAGAACATATATATATATATATATATATGTATCTATAACTCAGTCCTTTGCTGTACAGCAGAAATTAACACAACACTGTAAATCAACTATACTTCAATAAAATTTTTTTTAAAATTTCCCCTAAACTTTCCTCACCTAAATGTAAAGGAAATAGGAGAAGCATAAGCAGCCATGTTGCCAGAAATGGAGCCTGTCACACCACCTAACTGCACTTGGAAATAGCCAATATTTTCCCTCTGAAACAAATGGACAAAATCATATTAAGGGCTTTTTAATGAGGATTTTATTTACATACTCTTGCTTCAAAAAAAGAAAAACATTATATTACTACCAACAATAACTAACAGTGCCAAACACTGCTCTAAGAACTTTATTTGTATTAACTCATATCACACAACAGGAGTACCAAGATCGGTACTATTATTATCTTCATTTCACAGATGAAAAACTAAGGCAAGGAGAGGTTAAATAACTTGCCCAAGATACACAGCTAGAAAGTGTCACAGGCATAATTCAAAGAAAGGCAGTCGAACCCTAGAATCCATGCTGTCAGTCACCCCCTACACTTCCTAACCACAAAACAGTTATCTATAAACAATAGCAGGTAGTATATGACTCTGTTATTTGTTGATAAAAATCTGGATGGGAACATATAGATTGGCTGAATGCCTGAAAGCTTCCTCAGAGATGAAGTTGGAACTGAAAGACTGAAGGTTATACAATGAAACTAAAGACAAGAGGAGAAAGGTTATCACTGTATTTTATTTTCTTTATTAGATATGCCTTCCCCAACCCCACACATGTTTAACAAACTATGGTTCCGGATAAAAGAAAATGAATGCTGTTAGCAGAAATAGTTCAGAAGTAGTGTAAGAAGGCCTGGGGGAAAAGAAAAGCCTTCCATTTATGGCCAACTGAGTTTCTGTTGTTCCTTATGATTGGTTAACATCCCAGATTTCAAAAGCAGCGACAATAAAAACTAGAGACAAAATGTTCTAATCATCTACCACTGTACTGGTTGTCCAAATGCCCTGACCAGAGCATCTGCTTCTACCAGACAGACACTCTAAAAAGAGTTAATCCAAGTTATGCTAATTAAACTTAAAATTAGAGAATAGTTTTACTCACAGAATTTGTTCCAAGAACTTGAAGCTTTGGTTCCCCTGATTCCAGCAGCTTTGCTACCATATGAAGAAAGCTTTCTACAAATGGCTTGATGCTTTGAGAATGGCAGGCCATAAGAAGTTGGTCCAATGCCTCCATAGCAATTAAAACATACCTAAATATAAGAGAAAAATAATGTCAACACATCTCTAGCTCTCTTAATTCTCCTAATCGCTTTCATAGGGATAATTAAAATAAGTTTACTTAAATGCACAGAGCACAGAAAGGCAAATTTAGCAGCTTCTAAGTGAGATCCTAATCTTCACACAACACAAATGATCTTGAGATTATAAAACAATCCTCATGTGGAAGTATACAGAAACTATACTGTACTATCCCATTTTCTCCTGCTCACCAAAAACTCTCCCAGAGCTTCTTTAACATTACCTTCATGTGAATTTTTTTGTAAACACAAATATTCTCCATTTTCCAGGCTTTTAACCACATTTCTTTGCATCCAACCCAAAAGTTATTATAAGAAACGTGCCTAAATTTCTAACACAATCTATTTGTATTTGTAAATATGAGTATATAAAACACTATCAGCAATATTATAAGGAAAGGTATCATACATTTTACCATATTCATCAGATTTTAAAGCTTATACTAAAAATTAAAATTCAGACTTCAGATAACTTTGCTTGAACAGTCAACTATAAAAACTACTTGTATCAAGACTCACATTTGTATCAAATGCTCTAAATGGTAACAATGCAGAAGTAGAGAAAGCCAGTATAGCACTCGGAGAAAGGAATACTCTAAGAAACTAGTATCATAAAATGACAATATGGAAAAGTATTTATAAACCAAATTGCAAAGTTACTGCTGTTCAAGCACAGAGAATGGATTAAGATGGTAGACCTTTATTTATAGGTAGATGTATAGCTAGCACAGGTCAAATCAGCATGCTTACATATTCTGAACCTTAAGCCTAACATAGCTCTCTTTTATTGCTCCTCTGATAGGTAAAACTGGAGCTGTGATAAAAATCAGTTCGTTAACAGAATTTCTGATAGTTTTCAATTTTGAGACTGATTTTTAAATTACAGTACTGCGCTGACAGACTAAGGGAATCAATTTCTACTATTTCCATTAGGGAAGTCTTAAAAATTAATGGATACTTAAACAACTCTGTTAAGTAACATGAGTTTATTCTTAAACCTGACCACCAAGAAAGTAATAAAAGCTACAGCATCTATTCGGTATTACACATTTCCTTATATGATATTACAATGTTTTATTCTCCATATGTTATCTTTCCCTGACTACATGGCAAAATAATTTATAGGATGATTTAGCCTAGGAAGAATTTTCCAAAGATACTATATTAGCAGCAATTAGTTTCCTTACCCAGAACGATGTCTGACAACATCCCTGCTCAACCTTTCTGCCAGGTAAGAACCAATTCGATCCAGTTTCTCTGGAGCAGATACAGCATAAAATGTCAATTTCTCCATATCAGCTTTAACGAGGCCATCCTAAAAATAAAAATAAAAAAAACAAGTGAAATAGGTTATATTTATATTTTCATGCTTATTTTTTGTATTTCTAAGTGTTGCCTGCTTCACATTTCCCCTTTTTGGATTGGTAATTAATCCATATTTACGCTGAACCTTCCTGGATATAGCCTCTTAAGAGCTAATCACCATTCTGGATATGTAGAATTTTCAAAAAGTTAAATAAATGCCCCATTTAGGAAAAGCATTTAAATATGCTTTCACAAGCAATGGATTATTCTAACACCTTCCTTTACAGAAAGATAGCTCAATTAATTGCATATAGTATGTAAGGAATAGAACATATTTTAGTCATTATAAGAAAAGGTTTGGTTATTTGTTCCCCTCATTAGAGCACTCTTTGAAGGCAGAGACTATGACATGTAGACCTCTGCACTCTCGGTATCTACTGTTGGACGTGTTTTGGATATACCACAAGATTTGTTCGTTTAATAAATTAAAAATAAGAAATGTAGTCAACTGGGTTTATGGTTGCCATATGTATGCAAGGTTCATGTAAATCTTTTCTTTTCCTTAAACCTTATTTTACAGATTGCTATTTAAGTAAATCTTATCTAAATACTTGGCAAAAATAAAGATTCTTTCTGTAACCATTCTCTAATTTACCTGCCACCACTCCCATGATCAAAAGTGTTCAAAGCTCCCTCACTGCCTGTAAGTTACAGGGGATAAAGCAGGTGCCTTGTCTGTCATTCACATTCCTCCCTAATCTGCACTCCACCTTATCTTCAGTAATCGTATGTTCCAGATTCCTTAAGGAAATGATCCGAATATTCAGTCTATTAAATGATACTTCTGAAATTTCCAATCAGGAATTGTGTACAATTATCACTCATTACACTTCAATTAGGCTATAGGCACCTTCATTTGAAGGCTCTTGTTCGCAAAGGTATCTCTTACTTTACCATGATTTTTCTCTTGCCGGCAACAAAGAGATTAATCTCTGCTTCTCCAGATGGTGCACATCCTTCAGAGTTCAGCAAATTACATTTCTTCTGAGAATGCTTCACAGAGATTGCCAACCCATGTGATACCTCCCTGATATAAAGGCAGAAACTTTACCACCTGTTTTACTTAACATTTTTCTTACTGATTTATGCATTGTGATTTAATATTTAGTATGCTTTCGCTTTATATCAGTCAAATGGATGGAAAGCTTCTTAAAGGCAGGTACCATATCTTAGAGTTATTTATATGCCATAAATTATCCAGGATATCTCGCAGCCAAAATATTTAATTGATAGGCCTCCTACAAATTGCTGAGTATTTAAATCAGATATGATTAAAAATGAGGTGTATCTCATAAATTAATATCAAGATAACCAAAAGGTTTCTAGGGTTGGCTACATTTTAAAATAAAGCAACTTCTGGAAGTCAAACCCATGTAACACTTTTTTGTCCCTATCCATTTAACACTAGACTAAAGGAGTCTTGGAAAATTTAAGACAGTGTCAAACAAAATCAATCAAAGACAACTGCTTTGAAACCAGTCGTCTTCCACAATAAAGTAACTTTTATAAAAAATTAAAAAGCACTTAAGTAAAAAGAGAACAAACTCTGCCTGGAATATTCTCCCTTTACTTCTCAATTCTCTTCTGAAAATTGTGTGGCCAACCCTATTTATTCTTTGGATCTTAGCCTAGATTTCATTTCCTTCAGGCCTTTCTTCTCCCAAGCCCAGATTAGATATCATTCCTACCTACTCCAGCAGTACCCTGTACTTATTTCTCTATCACAACATATTCTTTCACACAATATTGTAATTGCCAATTTACTTGTCTAGGAGCTTGGCGAGAGCAGAAGACCAAGTCTGTATTCACAGTTGTGTTCTTTTGGCATTTCATACAAATGATCTGACACTAGTTCATAGATTTTTGGTAAGTGAGTATTACTTGAATTTAGGAACTATACAGACTAAAGAACATCATCCGTCCATCATTCTGAATTTATACTTTAATCTAAGAAAAGAATCTGAAAGTCAGACAAGCAAGCATGGATCATTTAAAGGTTAAAAAAAACAGAGTAGTATAAAAATAGTAGTGTACATGATGAGATTTGGGAGTAAAAGTAGAGAAATGAAATTAGGGAAACCTTTAGGGAGGTCAGCAGGGGGGAAGGATGGGTCAGCAAAGAGAAGGATCAGTAGATGTAGATCAAATTACTTTTGGATCTTCAGGGAATATGTTGTCCACCAGGCGTTTGTAGCGAGGACGCAAAGCTGAACAGCAGCAACACACTCCTGTTCAAAAAGAATAAAATCACAAAGTACAGAGATTAATCGTACTGTAAACTGACCTAGAAATTCAAGTTTCTGAATATTTATGGGTTATTTAAAATAAAGGGGGAAAGTTCAAACAGCCAGAAATAGAAAAAGGCATGCAAATTCAATTATTACTTAAGAAGTGAAAAAGTTAAATTTCTCCTCCCCTCCCCAAAGACACCAGGTCAAAATGAACATGCTAATTAATTACTCCAAAGTTTCAAACCAAACTGTCCAAACTGTTTTGGGGCATGTGTGTGTGTACACACATGCATGCACATTCACATAAAACCTGCCCAATTCATCCTATAAAGCATATACACAACTGGTACCCCACCTTGCCTCCCTTCTGGTCTCATTTCCTACTACTCTCTGCAGCCCCTACCCCTACCTCCACCTCCCTCACCCCCACTTTTCCTGCCCAGCCCAATCCACTCAGCTCCAGCTACAATGGTCTTAAAATGGCAGTTCGCTCCTAGTGTAGCTGGTGAAAACAGTTAACACCTGTATCTATAAGATGCATCATACAAAGGAACCACAAGAGTGAGGGAGAATCAACATCAAGGGAAAGTCCAGGAATTTCAAAAAATGCTCAAAGGCTGCTCTATACATTTTCAGTTGTTGGCATCTTGGAAAGGGTCAAGGATTTGGATTAGAAGACCTGGGTTCATTCCAATTGTTTCACTTAAATGGCTACATGACCTTGGGTAACGCACATCAACTCTCTGGAAAGAACTATGTAAGTAGGAGGGATCCATTTTCTTGTCCTACAAACTAATAACTTAATGGGAATGCTGGTCTTGAGCCATTATAAAATTCTTCCCATGATTTATGAAACTGGGGTATGTGTGTCTGTGTGTAAGTGTGCACTTGTATGTATTTAGAAACCAAAATATGGTATGAGAGAACACTTAAGCTAGAAGTTAAGAGAACGCAGACTTCAGCAGACTTCTATTATCTTATTGAGTAATGTTATTCAACAGACAACCTCTCCAGACCTCACTCTGCTCATGAAGTATACATGACTCATGCATGCAGTCATACACCACGTCAAGTTAACTGCCCAACAGGCCCAAACATATAAGACTGAGTCCAGATTTGTCATAGAATGGAGCCATTATATTGATAAAAACAAGACAGAATTAAGACATGTACAGCATCTTTAGTTATCATAAAGCAGTGTGCATACATTATTTAACATTTCCAGCAAATTTGTTAGGTATTATTATCACTACTACTTTACAAGAGTGGAAACTGTAGCAGAACTGACCAAGTAACTTACTCAACAGCAATGGCTGGGTGAGAAACCAATGTCTAACTCTGAAACCTCATGCTCTTTCCACAAACCCAGAGATATTAGTGGTCAAATCAATCAACATCCAAATATTTCATCTGCACCTGCTATGTCCCTAGCCACCATCAGTGGCTAGATGCCACAGATACAAGAAAGTATAAGAGACAAGATCCCTGCCCTTGAGAAGTTCATAAACTTGTTATTAAAAAAAAATAGTGAATAATTCAGCAATATATACATAGGCACTACATGCTGATAATGTAAAATGTTATACATTGTTCAGGATGTTTTCTACTTTAATAGAAGAAAAAATTCCAAAGAGTCCATTAGGGAATTTTTTTCAGACTAACACCAAAATACCTGAACTCTTTTTAAAGTCCAAAAGCAAAACACAGGCTAGATTACTAGAAAGAAAAACAAGGGTAAAAGCCAAGTAAGCAAAAGTCATATCTCTGTGTCAACTATACCTAATATAAAAATACTTCAGATGAATATTAATACACTGAAATAAATTAAAATCAAATATGTATCAAGTGATTAACTTATATAGAGCACTGAGCTAGGAACTGCAATGATGAAAGAAGCTTATAACCTGATAAGAAGATTAGGATGAATACTCTGCTATCACTAACACAAGGCCAAATATAGTAAATTCAAATTGCTATTATGGCAAAGAGAGAATGGAACTGAAAAACAAGTCCCAAAGCTTCAAGTTTCCTGTCAGAATGGTAAATTATGTAATTTTCAATAGGTAAGAAAGAATTCTTAATAAGGTATTATGTCTCACATTGATACTTTCTGATATTATACACTGCTTTTAGTTTAAAGAGGCTTCCAAAAAATGGGGACTTGAAATACACATAATATCCAGTTCCCACTTTCAGGAAGCTTAGGTGTACTGGAAGAGACAGATGAGTAAAAAGACATAGGTAGCATGGGGTTAAAGGGCAGGGGCTCTGGGGTCACACCGACCGTGGTGAACCCAAGGTCTCTCACTGTCCACCTAGGAAGGCACGTTACCTTCTCTTATTTTACCTACATTTCCTTATCAGTTAAATGGGTGTAATAACGCCTTCTTCATATTTATTGGGAAAATGAAATAAAACTATATGTAAAGTTCTTATTAAGGGTGTAATACACAGTAAGCATTCAATAAAATGGTAGTTATTACTAGTAACACTGTAAGTACTTATAATCGGGGTAAGCAGAGGTGCTTGAGGGCCCTTGAGATAGTATTGCCAACAACGTGACAACCTTTGCTGAGAATTAATCATCTAAAAATCCAACAAACTTTACATGTGGTTCACAACAAGCCTTCAATAACAAGAGGAGAACCAGTGGGGTAACTGCTATTTTCTGAACGTGATGTGTGCAGCACTACACTAAGTACTTTACAGCATCATTCATATACTCCTACGGCAGCTCTCTGAGGTGCTATTTTCAGCTTTGTGTGATAAACGAGGAAACAGAGGCTAAGGGAGGCCCATTTGTCCCATATCATACAGCCGGTAAGAAGAGGAGCTGAGATTCCAAGCAGATCTGATGACTTTAAAGGGTAACTGCCACTCTGAATTCAAGCACCAGACAATTTCTACATTACTTTAAACATTTTAGCTCTCCACAAACCATTACCCATGAACATGACTGCAGGAATGAGTCTGGCTAACAGATGAGGAATGCACTGCCATGGAGGGAAATAAACAATCACAGTGAGCTTCTCCAGGAGGTTCAAAACGAAACAAAACAAAAACAACTTCTTGACCACTTACTATGCATGAAAACTTACCAACTACAGAGAAGACAGATGAAACTAGATTTGAAAGCTTCAATTTACTCAGGTTTCTATAAAATGATAACATACTGAAGGTAATACAAGGTGAAAGTGAGTGGTAACAGTAATCACAAAAGAAAGAACTCTATTTTAAATAAGACAATTCTGTACTTATAAACACCACAAGAACAAGTAAAATAAAATCATTGGACCTACTGAGGCACAGAAATGTGGGTGACTCCCTTGCTGAAGTCAGTTCATAAGGCTTTTCGAGTTCAGCTGCAGGTACCTGAACATAGTCCTTCATGTTGTAGGAGATGATTTTCTAGCTGATCTTCCTGCTTAGATCCTTTTACCTACTGTGCAGGAAGCACCTAGTTCACTTTACTTGTAATTAATTAGCAGAAGGTTCTAATACACTGTAACTTAGCTAACGTGTTGACATCAAATGTAAAGCTATGGAGAACTTGATAATATCCCTATCAAATTCTGCTGACAAGGCCAAACAGCTTAAACAAGATACTATTAAAGTATTGTATTGCTAGTTTACTAAATATAGATTTTCATATAGTTTGAATAAGAAAATAAACTTATATGGTTTTCTTAAAGCATTCCTTTAATTCCTCCTCATCCTAGCTTCTGATCCCTTCCAACACACTCCTCAGTTTTCAACTGCTTCCCAACCTCGTCTTGTCCAAAGGAAAAAGGGGCTAAGCATATCACAAGAAAGCCTCAAGCAACTGGCAGGTCTAAGCAATATGAATTCTTCCTTTAAATTTAATTCTAACACATAAAGGACAAGGTAATTCACCATTCTCCTCCTGCAGCATATGGAATTTAGAACCCTACGTATGATACAGCAGGAGGAGGAACAGGAAGTCTCAAGTAGGTAAGTGAACTATGGAAAAATGGAACTGGGGCATAGCTGGAAAGAAAAATTATGACCCAAAAAAAAGTACCAAGCTGCATATTACAGTGGTGTGCACACAGGCTCATGGGGCAACCTGTTCAATAATGCTCTCTGAGCCTTAGTGAGGAAACAGAAAAATCCTACCCATCTCTCAGGGTTAGGAGTACTAAATCAATATAAAAAATTGCCTGGAATGTAGAAGCCACTTTAAAAACATTATATATATATATATAAAAACCTTTTGGAATTTTTTTTTTTTTTGGTAAATTCTGCTCTCCTAAATTAACCATTTCTTCTTTAAAGACACCCAAGACACCATGTGGATTCACCAGCATCTCCTAGTCCTCGCCTCAGGCAGGAGTGAAATGTATTGACCTCTATCGTCCTCCTTCTTTCATGGTGAGGTGTCAGAAATAATTTCCAACCCGTCCTGATCCAACAGGCATTCACAGAAGGACTTGAGTAGCTGCACAGAAAACCTCATGGCTGAGCTGACAGAAGCCATGGATCGGGTACATGGGCATACAGGGATGCTGGGAGAATTCTGCTTAATGGGGCCAATAATCTAAGTGGTTGGTCCACCAGTGAGGACTCCTAGTTTGTGATGACATTTGCTTTCCTATGCAGCTTTGTAAGTCTGGGGGTTTGGATAATTCATTAAGACCCCTTTTAAAATAAGTTACTTATGCTTTCAACTAACTATATTACCAATGATAATTTAAATCTAACTGGAAATAGTAATATCTCCAGTATTAAATTATTAATAATTACACTATTAATGTCTATTATTAAACACCATCATGGCACTGGGTACTTGGGAAAAAGCTATCCTCTAAAACAAAAATAATGAAGTTGAAGAATGTTTAGATCTTATGATGGGAACCAACTGTATGATTTTAAATTAGGTTTGTCTCATGATCTATTAAAGGAGAAATTAACAGTATCTATAACTTCTACAAAACAATTATATTATCTCTGTTAATTCTAACATGTAATGCATTAGG